AAGTGCAGAATATTCCTTATAACCCAAGGCAGACAGCAAGCATCCCTGCTAGAGAAGCTGCAGCCCATCCACCCAGGATGAGAGGGGGAGATGCTGACCTTGCACAGGACGTCCTACCCACAGGCAGTCAGCTGGCCCCAAATCCTTCCCTGCAGGTGCCCGCTGCTCCAGGCGCTCCCTGTGCCCAGCACTGACTTCGGAGCCATTCCAGGTCAAGCTTTAGGCAGGGAGGAATCAGTCACATCCAGCACCGAAAGGGGACAGCACTGCTGTGTTTCAGTGTGGCGTTTCTCCTGCCCCAGGTTTAACGATGAGGAGGTCTGCATGTGCCCGCAGGTCTCTGTCCCAGAGCAGTTCAGTTCTGTCCCCTGGAACACGTTCAACAGAGATGTGCTAAAGTCCCTCTACGGTTTTGCTCCGATCTCCATGCACTGCAACAAATCCTCCGCCATCCGGTTCCCGGTATGTACAGCTTCACTCCCAAGGCTTCCCAACAAAACTCCCAGCTGTAGGTAAAAAGCAGCTTGGCAGAGCTGTGGGAAGGTCTGTACCAAGCACACGGGTCAGGCGTCCGGTGCTCAGGACACATCCAAAACCCAGCGGGCTCAGGGCAGGGAGCTGGAGCTGTGAGGACACTGAGCCCAGCCCTGGTGCTTAAACAATCTGTCCAGAGCCCACCATGGATGTTCCCAGCCAGATTCAATTGGGAGATGCATTTGCATAAAGTGATTTGGAGGCTGCTTTTGCTGAGCGTTGAAGTAGGGCCGGCTCCAGATCCAAGGAGAAACGTGAGGTGGTTTTTAGGATTTTGGCAAATGACATCAGGTCCCAGCAGAGAGAGCTCATTACGTGCAGCATCTGTGCAGCCTCCAAACGCAGAGATCCAGCAAAACCTGAAGGATAAAGGACTGTGAGATCTTTAAAGGAAAAACAGGCCCAGTGACGAGGGACATAACAATGATGGCAATGAAGATTTAAAACCACTGAGGGCCTCAGCTCCCAGTGCCATTTATCAGTGTAATAAACTTAGATGATAGCCTATTCCTGGATCCAGGGATATCCACTGCAGCACAGGAGGATGCTGAGCTGACTGCAGGGATGACCATCAGCTTTCTGCCCCAGTAAACTCCCTTCAGCAAAGTCCACTCTGGAGCAGGCAGAAACCTTTCCAGTTTCCTGGAACTGAAGACCCAGCACCTCTCGCCTGTGCAGAGGACAGAAGTGCAGAACAGTGGTGCAGAAGTTTTGTGCAGCAGGAGAATTATGAATTAAACTTCTTAATTACAGCTCAGACAACTCTCTTGGTTTCAGAGAGGTCTAGGGGGCTTCTGGGAAGGGACTCGAGCGGAGCAGAGCCAGTGCTGGTACAAAGTGGGTCACAGGCACCACAGTGAGGGTGAAGGAACTGAGCTGCCTCCCTGCTCTGCTGGTGCTTCAGAGCGAGCCCAACTTTGATACATCTCATTTATTCCATACTGTTTCTGCCAAGAGAAAAGCACCAGCTTCTAATTAAGTTCATGTTTTTGCAGTTCAGTGATCCCAAATCTGATGATTTCTGGAAGGAACTGAGTGCTGTTAATTATCGAGCAAAATCTCAAGGTACCACTTGTGAGAGGCAGCAGGGATGATGCCATCCCCAAGTTCCCTGCACCCGCAAGGGCTCACAGTAAACTCCCTTTGTTCAGATTTCCACTCGAAGGCACCGAAACCAACAACTATTGAGACACTCCAAGTGCCTTTGATCTATCTGAGAAGCAGGCACAGGGTTTGGGATGTATCAGCAGGGCAGATTCCGCAGCAGATGGGCTCAGGACTGGAGCCGAGCCCTGGAGCAGGCACACCCTAAACATTCTTAACTGCTCCCCTAAGCCAGAAGGGTACAGGAAAATAGTTGTTTCTCCAGCTGGTGCTCCCCTGCAGTGCTGTCCCCTCTCTGGTCGCTCCCCAGGAGCTTTGGAAGGGTCCCTCCATCCCACTCCTTCTTCCCCCAGGGTTTTCCTGGTGCTGGTGCAGCCTCTGGCCTGTTTCGCTTGACATACCACAAGAAATTTCAGCTGAAAACATAAATTCAACTTTCATCTTGCTGATGACTCACGGCTCTACCTCTCCTCTCCAGACCTCCCTCCTCCTGCTCACGCTGCGGCTCAGCCTCTCGCTGACATTTCCGCATGAGCACGCAGCCAGCAGCCAAACTGCAGCATCACCAAACCAGAGCCAAGCCCCCCTTTGCCCTCACAGCCCCTGCCCACATCTCCACTGGCCACTAACCCAGGCCAACACATCACATCTGAGTTAGATCCTGCTCGGCGGGCTCAGCCCTCGGCGCTGCCTGGACCTGGCAGATTTCTCTTTGCAGGGAACATCCCCGAGACAAGGTGTCTCCTCACATGCACAGAGCTGGAGGTTTTGTCCTGGCCATGGTCACCCTGAGCCCTGATGGCTGTGACAGCCCTTCCCCAGCTCTGCCACACAGCACATCATCCAGGCTGCTGCATCCTTCCTGCTCTGCAGCAGCTGCACAGGAACATCCATGCTGGAATGCTGCAAATTCCTGCCAATATTTGGTGGAGAGTGTTTTACAGAGCACGTTGGTGCCTGTATGGGACTCCCTGGTTGGAGTTGCCTCCATCTGATTTGGTGGGTAGCGCTTTTTGGGGTGGAAACATCCTGACTGTGGTGGGTTTGTGAGACACCGTGCACTGCAGACGTCTGTGCCGCTAAGGGGATGTGTAGGTGCTTCTGTAAAATGAAGAATTAGTAATATGAATAATTAGCAGCATCTCATAAGAAAACATCCTGATTTTGGCTGAAAATGCTTCAAATATTAAAGCTCATTGGAGAGATGGGCAGAAACACCAAGTCTCCAAGTACCTGAGACTTGGTCTCACGGTGCCAAACTCTCTTGCAGGGCGACTGGGAGAAGCAGCCACTTCCCACCATCACCGAGAGGCTGCAGGAGCCTGTCCCCCACTGCCCACCTGCCCCGGGGCCTCAGCCTGCTACCCCCATCCCCCTCAACCTGGGCCAGCTCAGGAGGGACTGACACGATGCCTGTTCCTTCCATCACGACGGGAAGTGCCTCCAGGCAGGAGCATCCATGGGGAACATCCCGTCACTGTCCCGGCATCCTGCCCACACAGCGATGCCAACTGGTGCCCTGGCCCCTGCAGGGGGGTTAGGGCTCATGAGCTAGAGTTCAAAAAGTACTCTGGAGATGGAAAGTGCTATATTTAGTGTGTTATTAGCAATCCTGGCTCTGAGTAATGCTGCTTTCCACCCCCAGAATGAGAACGTGGAGGTTTGCTATTGTGCTAAACCCAGTGTGGCCCCAGGGAGTGGGGGGAGAGCCTTGTTTTCCCACAGGGAAATTGAGGCATGGACATGTGTGGGAGCAGCATACAAGCCCTGCAGTGCCCCATGGTCCCGTTTAGCTCAGGATGGCTCCACAGGTGCTCTCCCACCCTGCCAGCCATGGAGGGGATGGAGGGAAGGAGGGAGGGATGCCACGATGCCCACCCGACACCCACCTCCCCCCCATGCTCCTTCCCCACTCCCCCATGCTGGGGATTGTTCCTCTCGATGCCACCAGATGCCAATGGCTGGGAACAAATGATACCTCTGGGATAGGATTTAGAAAGGGGGAGGGATGCGGTGGGGAGGCACGGGGAAGGGAATGACAAATCTTTTGTCAGGGAAAAATTACTCCATTAAATATCTAAATGTAAAATAAATTGCTTTTTGCTGTCGAGCTCCAAGGGGAGAACACTCAGGAGGAGCAAAGGAAAGACTGGAGGTGCTGCAGGAGAGTCTATGTCCATCCCAGCTGGGTGCCTGCCCTTGCTGCCTTGGGAGAGGTAGGATCCAGGGCAGGTGGCCCCCAAAATTCACCCTCCCAGCCACCTTGAGTGTAAGGGACAGAGCACTGCACATTGGAAAGGACTTTTTAAAGCAAAACATGATCTTCCATGCACAGAGTGGATCCCTGGCTTGGCAGGGAGGCAGCATGCTCTTTCCCTCGGGACAGGACTGTGGCCACCCCCTCCTCTGCCCTCCTCCTGCCACAGGGAGGGCAATCAGCTCCTATTCAAGAGAAAAATTCATCTCAATCTTGTTTTTTAACGTTTTCAGTAAAACCAAAGCATTTTCAGAGTTCACGCTCTTGCCCGCAGCGCTTGTGGCACGAGGTTAAGGAATTGAAATCAGCTCTAAAGAGGGTATGCACCAAGCAAACCTAGTCAAGGGAAAGAAAGGGAAGAGCATGGAGTGAGATTATTTCTTCAGGCGGGTGAAAGCTTCAGCAGAGATCAGGCCCTTGCTGTGCCCAGCGAGGGGACCAGAGGAAAGGATAATTGTGGGGATGGGCTGGAAGTTGCTGACCCTTCCCTTTGGCAGCGGGGGGTTCGTGGGATGTGTGTGTGTGTGTGATGGAAAACCTTCCCTGATGCCCCCGAGCCTGGCTCTGCGCTGCCAGGGGCTGTGGGGCTGGCAGCACACGGCTCAGCCTCTGCAGGCCTCCCCCACCCCTGTTGGGAGCTGAAAGGAGCCACCTCCAAGGTGACCTTCGGGAAGATGCCAGTAGAGCAGGAGGGATCTGCTGCCAGAGGGTGGGGACAAGGTGTTGGTGCCCTGGCTGCCCATTTACACCCCAGCGCTGAGCTGGTCCTGCCTGTGCCGGGAGCAGCCCAGATGTTGTGGCTGCCCCATCCCTGGAAGTGTCCAAGGCCAGACTGGACAGGGTTTGGAGCAACCTGGGATAGTGGAAGGTGTCCCTGCCCATGGCAGGGATCTTTAAAGTCCTTTCCAACCCAAACCAGTCTGGGATTCCACGATTCTATGACACACAAGCACAAACAGTACTGGCAGAGAAAAACCCAGCAGCAGGCAGAGCATCCCCAGCGCGAACTTGGGCAATGGTCCTGTGCCTCAGCCCCTTCCCTCCATAGCCCCCACGAGTGTTCCCACCCCAGCTCGGGGTCCCCAGGGCACAGCCAAAAGGAGGTGACAGCCATTGGAGTGAGGACAGACACAGCAAGGGATCAGAGGCTCGTCAGGTAAGGAGGCTACAGCTGTATTAACAGCAGAGTTAGTTTAAAAAAATTCATTTCCAGGCAGTGTGAAACTACATTTTGGGGGAAAGAGTTTTCAGCAAAGTCAAAAACTGAAACCACTTCATATGCAGTCAGCCAAAACACTGTTTTCAGGCCAATTAACCCATGGAAAAGAATTATTGCTGCAGCGGCACTGCTTCACTTGGGAAATAGAGCAACAGAGTCTTTGGACTTTTTAGAATCTCTTCCTCTTCTCCCCTCTAATTCGACCCAAATTTGCTTGATAAGTTCACTGCAGGTGATTTCCCGGCTCTTCCAGCTGACCCCGGAGCCAGCTGGGGCACCCAAGGGCCAGGAATTCTGCTGGCAGCTCCTCACGGGCTCTTCCCTCTCCCCATCCAGCGCCCTCAGCACCTGCTCAGTAAAAGCCCTTCACTCGCTTGTTGTCGGGGTCGAACGGGGACTTGGTGTGTGCTCGGGCGGGGTAGGTCACTCCCATCCGCTCCAGCTCGTAGCTGCCACTCTTCACGAAATCCAGTGAGACCTGTGGGGCAGAGCCATGGAGAAATCCCCATTAGGTGCTGCAGGGCACCAGCCCCCTGCCAGCATCCGAGCTCCATCCCTGGGCAAGCTCCCACCCCGCCCCACAGATCTGGTCTCCGCAGAAAACCCAGCCCTGCCATTCCAAGAGGATGCACAGAGAGAAGGAAAATAGATGTTGAAAGCACTCTGTTAAAAAAAAAATAAAAAATCAGTCAGTATTTGAAATTTTTTTTTTTTACTTGTGGAGTTATACAGTGAAAAGGAAAAAGGAGGTGGGAAAGGAAAGGGGAAAGGAACAACATTCACCACGGGGAGAAAAGGGTGTTCCCAGGGGCAACTGGACCAGAAACCACTTGAGCTGGGACTCTTGCACTGATGCAGGATTAAAAGCCAAGGCAAGGAAGAGGATGAAAGCACAAGCATATGCACTGCTCACAGCTGGCACAGAGAGGGTCCCCAACCCTCCGTCCCCACACGGGTTCCTTGGCCTCTGACTACAGCACACTGCTTAATGAGGGCATCTGGTTGCCTCTCCAGGAGTCTCTCAGGCTTAATTAAGAGCCTGCTCTGCTCCTATTGGACATTGCTCCCTATAACATAATTCACTACTGCAATTAAATACTCGGTTGCAATTAACATCTGAGGCAGTGCTGGGGCCAGAGAGCATTGCTGGGACCTCACAGAGTGACAGCAGGTGAGACTGACCTTGCCACTGAGCCGTGACATCCCTCACCCTCCAGTGACATCCCTCACCCTCCAGTGACACCCCTCGAACTCCAACCTCCACGGGGGAAGCACAAAGGAGCTGCTGCCCCATCTCACACCCCAGATGACAGCAATGTGTTTGTGCCTATGGCTTCAAACCAAACCAGCACTATGATCCCCCCATAAGCCCCTTGGGGAAGGAGGCACAGCCGTCCCCAGAGGGTCTGTACTCACTGGGCCCCCCTCAGGGTCACGGATGTAGCCGTAGGCGATGGTTTTGTCAATGGCAAATCCAAAGTCTGCCCGACGGATGTGGCCGACCACCTTGCCGTCCCTCCAGACCGCCTCCAGGCCGAACATCGGCACCTTCCTGGGAGGGGAAGGCAGAGCTGCCATCAGCACAGCCCCACATCAGTCCCCCACAGGCCAGAGGAGTTTGGGGAGGCCAGACCCCACCTCTGCCCCAGTCCATGTGCCAGGACTCCCATTGCCCACAGGTCCATGAACATCCCTGTGCTCAACCCCGGCACTGGCGAAGTCCCTCCAGCCCAATTTGCACAACCTCCCGCTGCTCTGGGTGAAACAAGACCAACCCACTCCCTGTCACACCGTTTCCAGCTCCCATTAAAGGATCCAACAGGGAATTTGCGGTGGGATTTAAATTAGAGATGGAATTAGAGCATGGAAAACAGCTGAGCTGGCTCGTAACCGAGCTCCACGTGTGTGTGTGTGTGTGTGTCTGTGTGTCTGTGTGTTTGTGTCTGTGTGTGTGTCTGTGTGTTTGTGTCTGTGTGTGTACCACTTGTGTGTGTACACACGGGATGGATGGGGATGGGGAGGGTGCTGGTCCTGGGGTGGCCGCTGGTGCTGGAGCCAGCAGTGTTACTCAGCAGTGTTACTCAGCAGTGGTACTCACTCATCCGTGGTGAAGCAGACGAGGCGGCGGAAGATGCCCTTGGCTTTCTGGGCCTCCACGGCCTCCCGGCCCAGGAAGGGGACGCTGGACTTGAGCTTGCAGGTGAAGGCTAAGCCGGCTTCCAGCGGGGTATCGTCGGTGCGCAGGTCCGCGTGCCAGTGCCTGTACCCTGCAGGGAGCAAGCAGGGGTCAACCAGGTGATCTCTGCCAGCGTGAGCAGCATGAGGAGGTCAAGACATCACCCCTGCCTCCTGGACACCCCTCCATTCACTTGGCCCTAGGCAAAGCACCCTCGAGAGGAGCCCATATTGGGGAAGTCACAGCGCACAGCACTGGGACCAGTAGCATCTCTGCACCACTAACCTGCCCTTGAAGCTGGGGAAAAGCTCTTTGCCCTGGTCCCCTGGCTGGAGGAAAAGCAGCGAGTGCTGCTGTAAGGAGAGCAAGGCACCTTTCTCGATGCTGAGGCTGTCGATGGCTCTGTAGCCGGCGTTGGTGATGCCGTGCCGGGCCCCCGCCTGCATCACCGCCCGGTAAACCTTCACACAGTCTGCCTTGGGCACGTGCAGCTCCCAGCCCATCTCGCCCACGAACGACAACCTCATGGCACGGACCTGTAAACGCAAGAGGCCAAACATCCTTGAGGTGGAGCCGGGCTGTGCAGGGTGGGAGAGGCTGCAGAGCCACGTATGCCCGTGTCAGGGGGAAAGCCGGCTTGCCTGGGCACCCTGTGGGCACCTCGTGGTGGAGGGCAGTTCTGTGCTCTTTCTAAGGCAGTGTCAGACTGAATTTCTCATCTGTGTACAGCCCAAGGCGGCACCTCAAGCCCAGCTACCGTCAGTGCCCAGGAGGGATGGACAGTGGGCAGAGGTGGCTCTGTCAGCACCCCCTGGCCACTGATTGCAGGGCTGTTGCAGGCAGCCCAGCTGGGGTTAGATGTGATGCTCCAGCTCCAGCCGAGCTTTTGTCTCCCTCTGCTGATCCATTGAGGTGAGAAAGCCGGTCCCCAGCAGGACTGTCCTGCTTTGGGGCGCTTCATGGCTGCTATCCCCCAGGGATTTCCCGACTTGGGATGGTGCTCCCACAGCAGAGGAACCCAAAGGCTCCCAGGCAGGGGTTGAGCCCAGTGTCTCGACCCACATCCCACTCAGCCCAGGGAGATGCTCAGGATTTCCCCCATGGAGGCTGTGCCCTAAAGCAGTGCTGCCAAATTAGCTCCACACTGAATGTATGAAGCTCCAAAGAGGAATGAGCAGATCAGCACAGGGGACTCGGTGCTTGCTTCTCTGGGGAAACCTTATCCTTGGAGATGGAGCCTGCTTGCACTCTCAGGGGAACAGACCATGCTGGGACTGCCCTGTCCATGTTCCCCTAGCTTCTTACCCAGGCAAGCTTGCCTGTGTCTTCTTGTTGTCCCTATGAAACAGTTTACATTCCCAAAGCTTTCCAGGACAGTTGGGGCCACCCTGATTCAGGCACCTTCCCTGGAGACAGCCCTTGAGTCTGAGCTGCGTTCCCCTCTGATTCATCCCATTGTATTTCTTCACTTCCTCCCCCACACAACCCCTCTGGTTCATCCCTTTGTATGCACATCAACTGCAAATGCATAGTCGGCTCTGGGAGACAGATCAACTCCAGAGTTGCACCACAGATTGTGAGCTGTCAGTCTTAACAGAGCAGTTTTCAGTTTGGAAGAGACTTCCAGGCAGGTTTGTTGGCTGGACACACTCCACAGACTTGGGACTGGCTTGCCTGTGCTGGCTCCGGGTGTCATTGGGGCAGAAGCTGCATTTTGCCATTTGCTGAGCTCTTACTACAACCAGAGCTGGTCCCAGCTGTGCTGTCTAATCCCGGGAACAAACAACAACAGACAACAGCAGCTGCTGCTCAAAACAGGCAGAAGTGCCAAAGGGGTGCCTGGACTCTCCGCTGCGAGGATGGCCAGAGGGCACCCAAATCCATTCCTGCTTCCCCTAATATCCCCCTGCAAAAATAATGCCCTCAAGCAGAGTTTAAGGCAGCTTGTAAGAAGCCTTAACCTTTACAATAGGAGTGGAGAGAAGGAAGGAACCCATAGATATTGGGAACTTATTTTGAGCCTCCTCCCAACGAGCCGTGCTGGGAACCAGCACTCCCTTGGTCCCCGCAGAGAGTAACAAAGGCTGGTAATCACTTCTTCAGGTGCACACACACAAGGGGTGCAGAGAAGCTTTTTCTTCTACACAAAGGTGTCATCTAATTAGGGAACAGCCAGAGATCAAGCTGCTGCAGCCAGCTTCCATCTCCACTGCGGCAGGAGATGCTCTGGGGACTGACAGGCAACTTCCTGGCTCATTAACCCTGCCTGCGACTGCGACTAAAGTGCACTTAACTATCAAGAGCAAGTTACTCCTGGGAGAAACTTCCCCTCAAACCACTGCTGCTCCGGGTGAGCAAGCATCCCAGCAGGAGCTGTGCTCCATAGAAAACACCTTGGAAAATTGGGGTGCCAGTCATTAGCTTTGCACAGGTAGGGGTTGAGGCTGCCCCCAAAACTTGTGTACCCTGGGCAAGGTCCACATCCCACCACAGAGGTCGATGGGTGATGCCAAGGGCTGGGCTCAGCTGCTGCTGTGGCTTTCTGCTGAATTCCCCTAGGAACAGGTTTTTTTGTTAGATAGCAGCCAGAGCTATGGAATAGCATCAACTCCTGGGTGTTTGAGCAGCAATTCAAAAGCATTCTAGAAAATGAAAACCTGAACTTTACCCTGTATCCAGCAGTGAAATTCAAAGGGGGACCTTTCTGTGCTGTTCAATACAATGAGAGACGCTATATATAAACTCACAAACCAGTAGGTAATTTCCAGAGTCATTAACTCTGCTGGAACTCTCCTTTCACTCCAGCTGATTTTGTTCAACTACTGAGTTAATGCATGAAAATCTCAGCGATAACTTTTTAAAGATGTTGGGTTCAGTTTAATCCCCCTGGAAGGTGATAATATCAGCAAAGGCTTCAGCCTGCTGTCCTGAGGAATCCTCCCACTCTAATTTTGGCGTGGGATGGAGACCCTGGTGTTCATTGTTCAGTGGGGACCAAAGGAGACCTCCCAAAGAAGTGGCCCTGGCAGCAGGAAGGGAGTCTTCCCCCCAGCCCACACCAATTTTGACAGTCAGGGAATTTAGTCTCAGAAGAAGATACAAAATTTCTACCAGCTATTTCTTCCTCGCGGGACTGGATTACTTTTTTATAAACTTGAAGTGAAATGCAAATAAATTAATCAAACCCTTGGAGGCAGGAACATTTACACACCTTTCCCAGGGGATAAGGAGATTATTATGAGATGATATCAGCTTGCTACAGCCGTGACAAGGGAGGATGTAGGGAGGATTATAACTCACCAGTGGGGACTAAAATTCAAAATTTTAATGAATTGGCTTTGGAGTCCCCCAGGCCACTCTTCTCCCCCCAGAGGGACACTGGACTCTCTGTGCATTTTTCATACCCCAGCCCAGGGCACACTGGTACTGATGGTTTGGAGGACTAATATGACTTGGGCAAAATCTGTGACTCAGTTAAACCACCCTAAACCCTGGCCAGGCTCTTGCTCAGAAATCAAGAAGCCCTAATTTGATTTAGCAGCAATCCCTTCAGCAGCCAGCTGCAGTCGAATTAAAGCCACTCTAATTCTGAATGAAAAGTGGCCGCACGTGGCTTAACCCAATTTCACTAATATCCAACCTGCCTCCAGCTCCCAGCTTTCCTGCTGCCTTTTACAAGATTTACTGCTGCACCTTCACCTCCTTCATCCCCCATCAGGCACAGGCATGAGAGCCAGAGTGAGAGCTCGGCATGGTCCCTCCTGCCATCCTGCTCCTCCAGAGGGAAAGGGATACCCTGGGAACAGAGCTTGCCCAGATTTCCCATGGGAAGGATGGGGTGCAAACTTGACCTTCTCTTCCAAAGGGCGTTTTTGCAACAAAAGGAATAATTCATATGGGATAAACATCAGTGTGAAGGTAGAGCTTCTTGGGAAAAAGCAAAAGCTTTTCCCTGATATCCAAACTTGCCAGCAGCAGGTTTTCCCAGGACATTTCTCTTTTGACAAAATGATACTTTGTGGTCACCAACTCTTCTATTTAGGGTGTTTCAAGCAGGCTCAATCAGCAGCCTCACACATGACAGAACTCCCCAAAGAGCTGCCATCACCTCCTTCCTCAGGGATAACTGTTGATGCATTGGGTGAGGTGGCAGAGGGATTTAAGGTGCTTTTCTCACTGCACCAGGTGAGATGGAGGAGTCCAATCAGGCAGACAGTGCTGTGAAACCTCCCAGCAAACCCCCAGGCTCCACTTCTTTGCAACACAGTCGACACCAAAACACTTTAGGCTGAGCCTTCCTCCCTCGACACCTCTGAGTGACACCACCCATGGCTGCAGGGCCTGGCAGAGGTGCTGGGCTGCCAACCTGGGCAAGGTGCATCTCCAGCAGCTTGCTGAGAACCCCCACCCATGGGTCCCTACCAGGCACCCAAGCCAGGCAGAGCTGCTGCTCAGCACCATCACTCCAAAGGGCTTCTTGTCCCCTCGCTCAGGCTCCAACGGGCTTCACCCGAGGCATTAGCATGGAGCAGCACCAATTCTGCACTTTTCTCATCACAGCTGAAGTGAGCCCTGAAGTCTGGGCAAATGCAGGATGATCTGTACTTGTACAGGAAGCTTAAGGCTGTCAGACTTCTCCTGTGATCAAACACAGCAGCTCCCTGGGCTGTCCAGCCCTTATTGCCAGTACCTGACATGCTTTACATTAAATCATCCCTTTTTCTATTTTATGATTAGGGGGAAATGGAAAGTGTCTGGAGTGTCAGGGAAATCTCATCACCAGTGCTCATCCTAATCCATGGGAGGCATCTCTTGTTCCTCTGCCATCGCTGCAAAGCCATGAGTCACCATGTCCCTTCCCCAAGCTCAGCCCAGGCTCTGACACCACTGGGAGGGCTGGGAGAGCAGGCTGGCACCTGGCAGGCAGTCAGGGAGGGAAACATCCTGCTCCCATACTGGATTTTGGTCTTTTCAAACAAAAAATGCAACAAAACCTCACTGCAATAATGTGGAGGCAGACAGGTTCCCTAGCAGAGAATGTCCAGAGACTCCAGTGGGTTGCCCAGAGAAAGTATGGATGTCCCATCCCATTAAGGCCAGATTGGACAGGGCTTGGAGCAACCTGGTCTAGTGGAAGGTGTCCCTGCTCACAGCAGGGAGGTTGGAACGAGATGGGTTTTAGTGTCCTTTCCAACCCAAACCAGCCTGTGATTCTATGCTTGGCTGCACAGGCGGGTGGGTGGTCACTTCAGAGCACAGAGCTCCTGGGGAGCTCAAGGGCTCCGTCCTACCGTGCATCCTGCGGCCGTGGTGATCTTGTGGGTGGAGAAGGGGAAGGCCTCGTTGCTGAGGTCGGTGTCCAGCACTTCTTGGAGGACGACACGGCTGTGGGGAAGCAGCAAAGTGGGTGTGGTGAAAGGACACAGCTGAAGGGACACAAGGTTATCCTGTTGGCAAGACAGACTTCTCGCTGTAAGGAGGAGCTGATGTGGGTGATGTGCAATGCTGTCAGAGCCTCAAAAGAAATTTTATTTCCCAGAAAATGGAACGTTACTCCAGCCAGATCATTGTCATGGAGATCACACCTAGCCCTGCCCAACACGGGGACCTGTATCTGAGACATCCCTCCCTCCCTCCATCCACACATCCCTTCTCCCATCCCTCCCTGCATCCCTCCATGCTCAGGTTCTCCCCACGCTCACCTCAGAGGGCCCTGGATGCTCATCATGCCCAGCTCCTCTGAGCAGTCGAGGAGTTTGCACTGGAGCTTCATGTCCTGCAGCACAGAGGTGATGTGGGACCAGTTGTGCTGGGCCACGGCCCCGCCGATAGCCAGGTAGTATCCATCCCCTGGAAGACACCCCCCAGCAGCCTTTCAGGGTCAAGAGCATTGGGCTGGGGGTGATGGCCAGCTCAGGTCCAGGTTGGTTTTGCTTTCCAGAGCCTGAGATGGAACCCTGAGCCTCTCCAGCGTGCACAGACCAGCACGGGCTTCCAAGAGCAGGGGGGTTAAATGGTTCTGGGGCAAGGGAGGGCTTTACTGCCTTTTGTGGGGCTCAGCACAGTGAAAGCCATCAAAACCCCAAAGAAGAAAATGTATAAAAAGCTGTTTGAAACTTGGAGGCGCCTGTGTGTGTGTGAACATCACAGGAAGGGAAAAAACCTCCTTGTCCCTAGAGACCAAGAGCAAAATGACTTGCACTTTTGTCCCTGTACAGAACAGACCATTAAGTGTGGAGGGAAATGGGAGCCACAGGTGGAAGCAGGGAATGCTACAGTGACCAAGCCATAACCAGTGCAGGGGCTGTACTGTGCACAAGGAGGAATTTCATCTCGTTGCTAATCCTGGGTGGAAAAATCCCCAAGGATGGTGTTTGAGAGCTGATTAATATGTAATCAATCTTCCCTCTGTCTTTCCTGCCACTACAAAATTGCTCTGTGATAATCTGTCACAATGATAATAAGTGCAGCCACCTACTGTAACTGGAAAAAAAAAGACTTTGCTGTGATTAAACTCCTCCATCGCCCGACAAACCCCACAGCTCTGCCATCCACTTCCCATCACCCTCCTTCCCCTGCGAGTGCCCCAGACGAGAGGGAAGGAAGATTCTCCCACGGGGATGGAAGATCTCACTGGCACCCCATGCTGTTGGGGCAAAGGGTGTGAGTTTGGCCCCACAGCACATCTGAAGGTGACACAGTGTGGGGACAGGGCTCTGTGGGCACAAGTGCACACCCCTGTCTGGTGGCAGCCCTGGAGCTTGGTTGGGCTGCCAGAGCCGAGCTCAGCCTCCTCCTCTGCTGCCTAATGCCATTTCTGCCCTCTGGGCTGCTCTGCTCCCTTTCAATTCCTCTTTATTGCAGCTGATAAGGGCTTGGACAGAGGTCAGAGCTGCCAGCCAGGGCTGGACAAACCCAATAACACCGATGAGCAGTGCAGGGCCCCGGGGACAGGAGTGATAATCAGGTTACAGGGACCAAAGGACAGAGGTGGAAAAAGCCAGGTGGCTGCCATTAGGAAAATGCAATAACCCCCACGCCTGCAGCCCCTCCAGCATGGCAGGGATGGAGGAAATGCTGGAACAAACCTATCACCATGGCTTCCTGGGGCTGGAAAGATCTTTGGGTGGAAAATGCAGTGGGAGAGGCTGGGAGTTGAGCTGCGGGAAGGTAAACCCAGCCAGTGCCCACAGAAACGCTCCCACCTCCAGCAACCCCGTGCTCAGGGCTTTTACCTTCAAAGGCAGGGGCCAGAGGGGAGGCTGGGTCCCCGGGGATGATCCTGCTGACAGTCAGGTCGCTCTCCACACCCCCCTGCTTGTTCAGCATGCAGGTGTACACGGTGGAGCCTGCGGGAAGGACACGGGCACTGCTGCCCATCAGCCAGCCCTGGCAGAGGGAGCTGGGTAGCAGGAAGGTTTGTCCCCATTGTTCCATCAGTTGCCACTGCCTGACCGTGCCCTGATGGATCCTGGGGTATCCCAGCACCAGGAACTATGATTTTTCCTCTTTGGATCTGGATCTTCATCCTTGGAAAAGCCATAACCCGCCTCCCAGTCCCGGAGAAGGGAACAGCAAACCACAGCTGGTGAGGGTTGTGCTTGATTTACTCCAGTACCCATCACATCTCCAGCTGTGATCCACAGCTGGACCCAGAGGGCCAGATACCCTTCCCTGCCCCCCCCACCCCAGCTCAGAGCACTGGGACTCTGTACAAAAAAGCAGAATCCAGTCTTGTGAAGACAGGGAAAGCAGACTTTCCCACAGGATTCCCACACCCTCTGCAAGAGCAGCATTCAAAATAAAAGCCAGTTTAGGCTCCCATGGGGTTTTCTGGGGTGGGATTTCCCTGGCATGCAGCTGAAATGAGGTACCTGGTGCTTTGCTCACGTCAGCACTGAACAGCCAGTTCGCTGCTTTTGTAGCTTCAGGTCCAACCAAGTAGAATTTCCCAAAATAAGACATGTTAAAGAGAGCCAGGGCATTTCTGCACGTTAAGCATTCATTCTTGATCTAAAATTAAAGCAAACACAGCGCTGAAGCTGAGCCTTGCTCTCACCTCACAAAGGGAAGCACAAATTAAAGCATTTATGTAATGGGAAATGATAGCAGGACACTTGTCTGGTGCCTTTGAAGGCTGTACAACTTCAAAACATTCCTGAAAAAATCAGGTGTTAAATGGAGCAAGCCTGACAAGCAATCCTGTATGCTCAGTCCCATTCCTTACCTCACTAACGCAGTGACAGTTATGATTAATAACAATTAAATTTTATCAAATTGATTTTTTTTCCCCCCCAAGCTGCTATCAACAGTTTCATTTAGGAAAGCAGCAGCTTAATTCCTGCTTCTGGGCACGGTCCACACACTCCTCTTAATCCTTTTGGAACGTTTTTCCCCAGTTTTAGGAGAAGCTTGCTGCCTCCCCTCCCCTCCCAACTCCACCCAAAGAAGGTTCTGCTGCCTCTGACCGCCCCAGTTCCAGATGTGGCCAGGGGAAAGGCGGGGCTGTCAGCCCTGGACTCACAACGTCGTGGTGAGGGGGGAAGTCGAAGGTGTACTCGTCCCCCAGCAGCCGGTTGTAGGTGTAACCCTGGTGGCGCTCCCGGCCGTAGGCGCCGTAGTAATCGTAATCCAGGACCTGGGGGAAGAAGTGGGAGGATGGGGACAGCGAGGAAGATGATGTGAGGCTGAAGCCAAGGCTCTCCTAGTCATACTCACCCCACTCCAGGGGAGGAGTGGGTCCATGAAGGACGTGGCTGTGGTGATGGGTCCCCTCCCTGGCATCCCTGCCCATGGGGATGGTCCCCACCCCAGCATCCCTGCCCACTGCTTTCACCAATATATCAGTACCTGTTGTTTGGGGGCACTGCAGGCAGATGCTGCCTGTTGCAGAGGGACAGGCAGACAGACAGACACAACATGCACACACAGATCTTCCTCTTTTTGCTGTTACAGGGAATTATAGCCCGAAAGCTCTTATAGACCCTTTTTGGGGTCATGCAACTGCTGCAGCATATCCCACACTGCACACACAGGATGCATCCTCCGTGCTCTGGGCACAGCTGGTACCCTCTAGGCTCAACACCCCCCAAAACACGTGCCATGCTTACCGGGGCTGCTCCCCCGGGGCTGAACCAGCCCGGCCTCTCCCAGCCGTGCCGCTCCTGGAAAACGCAGCCCTGTCGCAGCAGCTCCTACACCAGACAAATGGGAACAAATGGTCTTAAAAAAAGCCTTTTCACTGCTTTCTGAGCAGCATCCAAGCTGCCCTCCTCAGGTGCAGGTTCGTGCTCCAGATCAGATTTGTGACCCCTTGGCTTTGGCTGTCAGCAGCCAAAATCAGCACTGCAGTTTGTCTTTTAAAACAGTGGCAAACTTGCCTGCAAATTGCCTGATTTTTATCCCCCCCCAAAGGATATTTGCCTCAAGGGTAGTCGAGAGGCAGCATTTGAGCAGCCCAGCTGTGCACCCCCAAAAACCTGTGCTATGGTGCCCAAATTACTGACTGAGAGATGCTACATCCACAGAGCAAGATTACCCCTGATGTTCACAGACTAATTATATAATAGCATTTAAGATTTATACAGCAACCTTCTCATTCCTCCTCTGTGCTCTCAGGAAAATCTCTCTGCACGCAATTAATTAGGGATCCATTAAGATATTTTTGTTTGGGGCCTCTGTTCAGAAAAGAATAGATTTTGTTGAACATTTCAGAAATGATTCAGTGCCTATTTATAAAACACAGCACATGTTCTGGAGCTGCATGGATAAATACCAGGCTGTCAGTCAAATGGGCATTGCTTATTAGACAAGCTATTAAAAAATAAATTGCATCCTCAGTGACAGAAAACAACCAAGCTGTCAACCAAACACCGGGGGCTGGAGGGCAGGGATGTCTGTTTTACTGCTTGAGCCTCTGCTCTCCACTGGAAGAGGGATAGTGTGATATGAATCAGAGACAGGCAGAAATGGGCTTGGGAAATGTGGCTGCTCCTTGCCAGGGCTGGGAATGGGGCTGGTGGTGATGTGGTGGGACAAGACACTGATGCTGAGTCACTCCAAGCACCCTGGGGGTGCTGAGTGATTTTGGGGGCTCTGAGCTGCATGGCTTGGGTGTTGCTGGTGCTGAAAAATGCTGGAAACTGGGTTTTTCTCACAAGTGTTACATCTAAAGGGTGCTCACCTACAGAGCTTTGTGCAAGGAAGTGGCTGGCAAAGGTAGGAGCTGGGGAGAGCTCTGGCTGGTGGTTCCAGGGAGTAAAACCACTTAGAGGGTGCTGGCAAAACCACCTCTGCAGAGGCACAGCTGCTCCCCAGTCTTCCCACATCCCTCCTCATGTCCTGGTTTCTGTTTTGGGGAGAAGCTGCTGCTGAGTTGTGAGCAAGACACGGTGAGCAGTAGCAGGAGATTCATTCCTGTGAGCATTTGGCATCCTCATCCCTGGCAGCTGCCTCTGAGCTGGGCTGGCAGTGAATCGACTCAGCCTCTGAACTCTTCTCTTCACTTTTCCCTTGCCCAGTGGTCATCACCGAGCTCTTATGCCATTTTGCCAAGTTAAATATTAAAGGAAAGCTTGGCATCTCTACCATTAAACTGTCCATGGTCCCAGCACCCTCACAGTGTGCACTCAGTGAGCTTTAGGATTGGTAGGGATCTCCCCAGGATGGATGGACGGGAGCACGGATGCAGCACGATGCTCTGGGGAGCGATACAGCTGCAGCCACTCCTTGGGACCTCTTTTTTTGCTGCAAGGATGCTGTGAGGGTCTCCTATTGCTCCTCACATGGCAAAATGCCCTCACCTCGTGCAGAGGGTCCTTCCTCATGTTGCGTCCTGCCAGTGGCTCGTCATGGGGGAAGACAACGGAGTAGTTCTTGGCGTAGGACTCGTGGCTCCGCTCCCGGATCCAGCGGTTGTTGTTGGTGAGGGAGTGGTGGAACCTCCTGGAAGGCAGGGAGAGAGCAGCGTCCCAATGGGCCCACCAGCTCCTGAGGTGCCTCCTCTTGACCAGACCCAGATGTGGATGCAGCTGCTGAGGTGTAAAATTGCTATTTCCTGCACCAGTTCAACAGGTAGAAGAGCAGAGGAACCAAGCAGGGCCTGGCGCTGGCCAGGAGAGCCAGCACCCCTATCCAGCCCTACTCCAGAGTGACTGGGAGCAGTCCATCCTGGACATCCCTTCTGGAGGGGGGAAATAATAAAAAAAAAATGAAACTTGAGGTTAATTCTGACTCCCCAGCCTCAGAGCACACTCCGGGTTCAAATGCAGCCCAATGAGGGAATGAGCCCTGGAAATTCTTTACATTTTTTATCCAATTCTCCCCAGGCTGAAATACAAATAAAACCCAAATCATTTAAAATTCGTTTGACATATTTTCATCTTTCAAACAGAAAAGCTCCTTGAAGGAATGTACCAGCTCAGCACATGCTCAGGTTGTTATTCCCAGAGACCTATAACTCATGGAGAGCAGCCCTGGGCACTGTGGCACCTTTCCCGGGGCTGGAGAAAAGGAGGCAGGCAGAGGATGAAAGGCAAGACAAAATGTCATTTCTAGGGTCTTTTAAAATGATACTTTGAGCTTCCCTCCCCACTGCCTGGGTTCAGAGGAGAGGCAGGGCACCGGAGCTGAGCTATGCAAGCAATGCAAGTGATGCTCCCCAAAAGCAGCCATGGGCTCTCTGTGAGAGCAGCTGCCTCTTCTGCTGGCAGGGAACAAGCAGAAGGTGACACATGGCATGTCACTGGCACCCCTGGTTGCCCCATCAGCCCCAGCCCCTTCTCCAACATGCTGAATTTTTGACAGCAGCAAGCGGGCAACAGCTGCCAGATGAAATATTTACAAGCGAGTGTTTTGAGAGGATAAATATTGAAATGTGCAGAAAAGGGAGTTATTTAAATAGGAGCTTAGTAATCATCACCCAAAGGAAAAAAAATGGGACTGACAGCTTGATGACAGGGCAGATGGGATATGGGGGATGCTCCATCCAGGTGCAAGGGATGGAAAGCCCCCGGCTGCTCTAAGTGGGGCTGGGGTCTTTAGGGGCTGGGGTCACCCTGAAAGGGCTGTGGTGGTGCCAACCCAGTGCCTGTCCAGCCTGGGGATCTCTCCATTGCTCCAGCCCCATCCCTAGCCCAGCTGGTAAAGGGAGGGAGCTGGAGGCATCTCCCACTGATCTCTGCAGGCCCCCATACCCCACTCCCCCAGCCTGAGTCAGTGGGGCACTTACAGCTTTACCACTAAAGCAACAGCATTTTCACAGCTTTGTCCCCGACAAGGTGGTTGCTGTCACTAACAGCCCTGTAAGAAAGCCCACACCCAATCAAAGATAATCAAGCAAGTCAAAAGCAATTACTGAGCCAACATCTGCACAGTCAAAACTCTCGGCCCGTGTGGAGCTGCAGAGGGGGGCAAAGCTAATCTTTCTGCCATTGAAATCATCCCCCCCCCGATTATTAAGTTAGAGGATTAGGCACGGCACTAATTGAACAACAACAAAACCCAAACGTAATTAGCCCGTCCTTCCCCATCACCACCATCTCCTTGTGCCTGATGGAAGCTGTTTGTGCAGAAGTGGAATGAGGCAAATGAGATAAACCCCACGTGTAAATTCATTAAAGCCACTGCGTGTAATTGATTCCAGCTCCTTGGAGGGACACAGGCAGTGGCACAGATGCTGCCAGGACACCCACTCCCGATGCCAGCAGCCAGCCCTGCCTTGAAACTGTCCCCAAGGATCACCCAAGGATGAGGGGTGACAGGCAGGGTGACTTGCCTGATGTCATAGCCATACATGTCCTTCTCCGGCCGCCCGTGGATGATCCAGTGAGCCAGTTCCCTCCCACAGCCGCCTCCCAGCATCATCCCTGGGGGAAGAGGCGAGGATACAGATGGGGCCAGAAGGCCAAGCACAGCTGTGGGTGCCTGGCTCTGCCTGGGATATGATGCCCAGGGTGTGATTCCTTTGGGTCTCTCTTACCAGCGCTGTTGAAGCCACAGCCAAGGAAGAACCCTCGGACTTCTGGAGCTTCTCCCATGAGCGGCTTGTGGTCGGCTGTGAATGACTCTGCAAGACAGAGGGGATGTGCCAGTGAGGCCAGGACAGGCTTTTGGGGACACATCACACACTTTAGGAGCATGTTTCCTGCAGCTGCCAGTGCTGACCTCATCCTGCTCCCAGACAGATCAGTGGGGTCAGAACTGGACCAATACCAAGCATTTCCCAGCTTGGGAGTAGACTGAAAATTTGGGAAACAAAATGAATCCCCCAAAAGAAGTTGCACGAGGTGCTGTGAGGGCTTTTTCTTTATCCCGATCCCCCAGTCAAGGGGGCTGCACTGATCTCTTTGTTGCCTTTTCAAAGTCTGAGCCACATTTCATGATGACTGTATTTCACCTTCATTGAGTTCTGCTGGGAAATTCCATGATTTTCAGTTACTTTGTTCAGCTGAGGGACTGCTGCTGATGTCTCCCCAGACTCCTGTGCTAATGATGTCTCCTGCTGCCAATGCTATTCCACAGGGCCATCAGCCACAGTCCCTATGCAAGTCCTCACTAGGGAGGACAACAAAGCACCCTGACAGAGGGGTGCAATCCTCCTCCCCGTTTTATGGTGGTTCATCCATCCATGTGAAAGGAGAGAGGGAAAATGGAGTTCAGCCCGGTCCTTCCCCCCTCAGCAATGCCCAGCTTGTTTCCCATGATCACTGGAGAAGGCAAGAGCAGAGCCACAATATTTCCACTGTCACCAGAGCAGCTCCTCATGTGCCACTATCCCCGTACTGATACACCAGGTTAAAACTCAATGGAGCAACACCCAAAGCACCTCCCCTTCCTTCCAGCCCTGCTGACTTTGCCCTGGGACAGACAGTGAGGGCTCCCTTGGCACAGTTACAGCAGAGAGGACAAGCCTTGGCTGTTTGCTTCAGCCCAGCGTGACTCAGCTGTCACAAACTGCTGGTTTAAATCAAGAAGGAGAAAAGGAGGAGCACTGACCCTTTGGAAATGACATTACTGTACTACAAAGGATAGACATTCATCTACCAGAAGCCAGGTCTCCACCAGCTCTGCTCACACCGCAGTGTAATCAAACCACCGGACCCAGGGCCAAGGTCTCCACCTTGTACACATCATGTTTGATCAGCCACGGGGCAGGAGACGTGCCCTACTTTCCCCTCATACAACCATAAAGGCCTCAAGGGTTTCCTTTTAAGTGCCTCAGCAAAAAGAGCTTTATTACAGTTTCTTTTTTAGCATATGGTGGATTTTAAGGCCAAACCAAGTGTGCAGGTCTCGGGTTCGATGGCTGGCATCACCTCCTGCTGCCACTGCAGCAATACTATGGCCTTTGACTCCACACCAGACAGCCTAGGATGTAAATCTAGGTGAATCTAATGTCATTGGCCCAGAACAAAGTAGTAAAAATAATTATGTAAGATAACACTTGGTCACTGCTTGAAAAAAATCTGCCCCTCAATTTTCCAGTCCAGTGGCCACAACACTGTCTGTAAATCTGTGCTATTCATGCCCAGATTGAATCAAGGCAAAAAGCTCCCCAGGGAAATTGTTTTAAACTAAGAGAGGGTCAATTTAGATTATAAGAAATCTACAAGATTATAAGACATCTATAAGATTATAAGAAATTAGAAGTTATTTACAATAAGGGTGGTGAGCCTCTGGCACAGGTTGCCTGGAGAAGCTGTGGATGCCCTGTCTCTGGAAGTGTTCAAGGCCAGGTTGGACAGGGCTTGGAGCAACCTAATCCAGTGGAAGGTGTCCCTGCTCATGGCAGGGGGTTTGAAACTACATGATCTTTAAAGATCCATCCAACCCAAACCATTCTGTGAGCCTGTGAATCTATGATTCTATTTCTCCACCCAGGCTAAGCCTGGAATGCCACCCCTTGGAAGATGACACCACTGCAGCCAGACCACCAGCACTTTCTCTGCCTTCAGAGAGTTTTCCTTCTTCCCAGGTTATGAAGTTTCCCTTTGCCTCCACAAGATCCTGGGTGGAACCCCAGCCACTGTGATGCCACCACAGCCGTGTTACCTGGCCCACACACAGTGGATTTAATGCCCGTTTTCTCCAGCACTGGTACTCTGTTGATGGCACCTTCGATGTGTTGCATGAAAACATCCCAATCCAGATCAAACAGGCCAAAAGCAAATTTTTCAGATACCTGAGGGTGGGAAACAGGAATAAGGACACAGAATAGAGTACAGCTGCTGCTGTAAGAACTCCTCAGCTCTGGCACCTGCACCTGGATGAAGGAATGATGCACAGGGCAGGAACTGCACAGTGGCCTCTGAATTGCCCCAGTCCAGCCTTTTAATCTCATTCCTGTTGCCTCTGTATTGCCCGTCTGTGCCACAGACAGACCCAAAGGGAAGATGCTCTCCCATGCTTTGCCCACCAGCCCCACAGAGGTTGGTACCCACAGCATCCAGGGGCTGAGGCCCTCATGCCTGTGCCCATCCCTCTGAGGTGGGTTCCCTGGAAACCTGCCTTGTTCCCCCCAGAAAACCTCCTGGCACTGCTCACCTCCTCCCAGAAGATGGGGTTTGACTCATATCCACCCACGGAGAGGGCATCGCCTTGGAGACGGAGATAGACCGAGGCATCGTGATCGCGAACATTCGGCATGTTCTGAAAAACAGGGAGAGGGACTGGAGGGGTGAGAGGGGGGTGAGAACAATGAGGACACCCCTACACGAGGTGGAGGTCCAGGACAGAGGGTGGGCACCTGCAGCAGTGACCTGCCAAGGATGGGAGCAGCAGTGACTCCCTGGGTGTTCCCTCAGCCCTGAAATTTGGGTGCCCGTGTTGCCCCAAGAGGAAGGCACCTGGCTCAGCTCCAGCAAAGCTGATGAAACCACAGGCAAAGTGGCTTATGCAGACACGTGAGCAGCACTGGGGGTGCTTGGGGGAGCCAGAGCAGCCCCCGTGGTTGATCCTAGCTCAGAAAACATCACTCCTCCGCCACCCGCCTCTGCAGGAGGAGGCAGCAGCTCAACACGTGGGCAGCGGTGCGCGAAGAATGAGGGATTTGTTCTCGTGAATAATGGATGGAGAAACATTTAGATAACATGGAAGTACTGCTGTAGGGCCTACTGCAATCCGTGTTGACCAGCGGAATTAGGTGGATTGAACAAGAGGCACTGAGGTCTGCGAGCTGCAGCCTCTTCTCTGAGCAGTCTTTCTTTCTGAGCACAGCGCAGTGGAGTTACTGGGATAGAAATGTAATCACGGACAGCACTTTTTACAATGAGGCACCTCGTACTGAAAGGTCAGACACAGATTGTGTCAGTGGGATGGAAACTAATTAATGTGTCACCCTCAAAGCGCTGGTGCCTGAGACAATGAAGCCTCCCTCAACTCCTGAGAAATTCTCCGCAGCCGAACAGCAGGAACAGATTTTTTGGGACAGTTTAGAAATGCTTGGACAGCTACACCTCTGCCTGCTGGGACTGGGGCTTCTTCAGAAAGCGTTTGGGACCTTTATGAATCTGCTATCAGATTCACCAAGCACAGCAGAGATCCTATAACAATTCTACTGAGGGAAAAAAAAAAAGAAAAAAAAAGAAAAAAATAAGTATCTTGCCAGTTGTAACATTGTTAAATATTAACTTCGACTCTGTTCAAAGTGGTCTGACAGCCCTGCTAGGTGTGCACCTCCCCATGTGCAGAGCCCAACCTGGCAGCACGTGCCCACGCTGGAGGCAGGAACAGAGTGGGGTCCCACAGGTCTGGGAGTCCCAGGAAAGGGGGGGGGTGTCTTTCCTGCCTCACCAGCACTGCCCCCCAGAGCAGAGGAGCCGACCTGCAGCACTGACCTGGATGCCCTCGATGCGCTCGGTCACCACGTAGGCGTGGTGCATCCCCACCAGCGGCACGTGCACACCGGCCAGCCGGCCCAGGGCTCGTGCCCACACACCTGCCAAGAGAGCAACCCCCAATGAGCCCCCACCTGTCCTCCACACCCCCCGGAAAGCTGTCCTGCAGCCCACCCAGACAAGGGGACACGGACTGCTGCAGACCCTCCGGCTCACAGGATGCAAAGCCAGCTGTGCCCTGTGGCCACAGCCCCCATCCCACAGCTTCCCCCCTGCCTTGTGCCCTGTACCTGCACAGTTCACCACGCAGGGAGTCTGGATGGTCCCGTGGGCTGTCTCCACTGCACACACCCTCTTCACCCCGAAATCATCAGCTCTGACCTGGATGCCGGTGACTGGGCAGTTCTCAATGATCTGGTGGCACAGGAAGGGCAGCAGAGTCATGGCAGGGTCACAAGGGAAAGGGGACAACCCACCTCACCTGACACCCAGTCCTCAAATCAGGGGAAAAAATTACTCTAAGAAGTGCTCTGGCAATGGCCATCTCCCTGCCTTGGGTGCCTTGTCTTGCTCCTAAAGGTCTTTTTTCCACCCTATATTTTTCCTGGACCTCACGGTTCAGGAAATCTGTGCCAGCTTTGTCACTGTCACTCAACCAGCGCGACAACATCCTTCTTGGGAAAGATCTGATTCTGCAGGAGCAGTTCTGCCTTGCTGGGAAAGGAGATGGAGAAGGACAAGATGAAATCTCCTTCCAGGATCAATAGGCATTAATGAGCAATTACTAATTAAGAACTACCGTAGCTCCTCTGGCAGTTGCTGCTCTGGCAAGAGTTGAGCAGGTCCCAGCTGGATCCATGGTGCCATCCTTGGGGACGTACAGGGTGCCATACAGGTCATCAATGTTCATCAGTGGGTACAGGTCCTTGGTCTGTGATGGGGTCAGGACGTAGGACTCCACACCATACACCTTCCCCAGCTGCCAATGGACAAAAAAATCGGGAGCTGAAGCAGGAAACAAAAGCTTTGCTCATCACTTGCTGCTGGAGGAGGAGGAGGAGACCCCCAGGACATGTTCATCTCCCTGGTGAGGCAACTGCTACACCAAAGCAAACCCTAAGTCCAGTGTGGGGTGGGATGGTCTGCTCAGATTTCAGGGAATATGGCCCTGTGCAGCTGGAAAAATGATGCTGCCACTACCCGAGTGGTCAAAAATCATGTCTGGATTTAATTTTGCTGACTTTGGAGCATTTTGCCAGATTTTGGCAGCTTTATGGAAGTCAGGAGGCTGCCCAGGCCACTCGCAGCTCTCTGGGTGGGAAGGTAGAAATCATTCAGAGACCTGGGGACCCCCAGCCCCACTCCCAAATAAATGCCGCCTCCTGCAGCCCACTCAGCTGGGGGGACACACAGAGGGGTTTCTCCCTACCGACATGAGCCTTTTGTACTCGTCGAGACGCTGCTTGTTGGAGGCGATGAAGAGCCCCCCGTTCTGCACCCAGCCCGTGTGCAGCCCCGTCTCCGCCGGCAGATCCCGGCTGACCACATCCCGTGTGTGCGCCAGCAGCTCCACCTCCACATCACTGGGGCGCAGCTGCCACAGGAGACCTGGGGACACACACACAGCCCACGGGTGGGACAGGAGCTCCGTCACCCCTCCAACACCCGGAGTGGGAATGCAGAGGGAGCCCCGTGATCCCACGCGTGTCCCGCGTCACCCTGCGGGGCTCTTGCTCCATCTCGTGGATACCTGGGAGCGCTACAAACCATCGGCTTATGTTTTCCTTGGGCGTTAAATGAATGGGAAAAAGGAACGGACGACCCCAAAAGTGACAAAACACAAAAGAACTTGGATAGCTCCTCCTTCCTGCCAAAGAAAAGTGGCTTAAAGAAGGTAAAAAAATACCTGTGGAAAAAAAAAAGTTTCATTTTCCTGTGGCCACGTGAATCTTAAAAAAAAAAAAAAAAAAAAAATTGGGGGGATGTTCAACAGAAAAGGAAAAATAGAAATGCTGAAATTCTCCACATTTAAAGCCCAAACTCTCCAGCACATCCAGATGCAGCCTGTGCAATGGATTCACTCCACGGACAACGGCACATCCCAAATCATGGGCATCCCAGTGCCCACCCCAGGGAGCACCCACGCTGTGCCCACCCACTCACCAGCCGTGTGCCAAGTGGTGCCCGAGGTCAGGCGGTCCCTCTCCAGCAGCACGACGTTGGTGACCCCCATCTTGGTCAGGTGATAGGTGGTCTGGCAGCCCAGGCTGCCCCCCCCGACCACCACCACCTCGGCCGAGGATGGTGGGGGCCGGCTGGGCTCCCCATTCCCGCGGCCTTCCTCCTTCAGGGTCTTCTGGTATGGGACACTCTTCTTGGCCGTGGGCCCCGTGGCGCTGCTGAAGGGCCGGGGGCTCCTCCAGGGGGCTGGCAGGTGGGGGGCAGCTGCCCGCAAGGCACAGCTCATGTAGGACATCTCCACCTGCAGATCCCAAAATCATCTCTCTGGTAGGGGTGGGGACCCCCAGCCAGCCTGGCTGCTCAGCTCTCCACCGTTTCCGTGGAGCAGCATCTCTGGGCACTGAGCAGGGGCTAAACGAGCCCTGGGGCACATCCCCTGGGAAATGGGATCCCAGTTGTGCGTGTGTGCAGCTCCCAAACAACCTTTGGAGGGGCCCCCCCTTAAAAAGGGGGCACAGGCATATCAACCCTGTGCTTGTTCACGCCTTCAGAAACCACCTTTTTTTTCCCCTCTGGAATTCAGGAGCTGTTTGGCCACAATGAAGGTGCCAGGTTTGCTCCCTATCAGAGGGCGGTGCAATGGCTGCTGGGGGTGGAAACGGGGACAGATCCTGCCTGCAGATACCCTGCAACCCCTGCAGACCCTGCATGCAGGTCCTGGCTGAGGACATGGCTCAGGAATCACTCCCAGCACATGGTTTTGGGTGCACAAAGGGCGTGCAGTGGGGTCTCACAGGCCAGCACTGTCCCACTCCCACACAAGCCATGGCCGGGGGCTGCCCCAGAGATCACCCCATTGAGACCTCCAACTTGCTGCCACGTGGCCTCCAAAACACTCACTATCCCCTCCCAGTCCCTCCACAGCCCAGTCAAGCTGCAAACTCCTACTCGGAAATCCTGTGACACTGCAAGAGTTTCCCGGACAGCCCACGGCACATTCCCACCAGGATCCACTCACCAGCGAGGCTCACTTGGGCTGGCTTTCCCTGCCGCGATGGCCGTGGGGCCCCTGCCTTCCTCTGATGCTCTCCTCCTCCTCCTCCTCCTCCTCTTCCGTCCCTTCTGCCCCTGCTGCAAAAAATATTAACCAGCAACCGGAGGCGAGCGGAGCCAGCCCGGGAGGAAGGGAAAGAGGGGCTCCTTCGTACCCCTTCTCGTGGCTCAGCTGCTCCTCAGCCAAGACAAAGAGCCCAGCAGAGAGGAGAAATTCAAAACAGGGAGGAAAATGCTGCTTTTCTCCCCGGCTCGGTGCCCAGCAGAGAACAAACAGCCCAGCTGGGGCCAGGGGGACTCGCAGCCTCCCGGGCTCGCTCGGCGCTGGCTGGAGTCGTCAGCTGGATGCCAGAGAGCAAACACGGCGAGGAAAGGCACCATCTGACCCTCCCGCTGCAGTTCCCAGCGGCTGCACTTAAAGAGCAGAATTAAAATTAATTTACGCGTTTCCTAAGCCAGACCCAAGAGCTCAAAGGTTTGTTGTTCCTCCTGCTCAGGACTCACCCCTGGAATTAGGGCTTGTTCGGGCAGGATACACAAGTTCTCCTGAAGGGCCTCATTCTGGTATCTCGGAGAAGCAGAAGTCGGGGTGGAGTTGGGGTTTGCCTGGTGGTTGGGAGGGATCAGAGTCCCGGCAGCATTGTGGTCCCTCAGGCAGCATCACCCACCCCTACAGACTCCTGAGCAGCCCAGGAATGGTGGTTTGGGGGGCTTTTACCATCCAGCAGCAACGTGACCCTAGGAAGTGCCCCCCACTGCCTCCCACTCATCTCACACCTCTGCTCTTCCCGCTGAACACACTGTGGTACCCAGCCTGCATCCAAATCCCTCCAGTTTGGGAAGGGTTTGAATAGGAGCGGAGGGGTTCACTTGTTCCAGCATTAGCCAATCTCCAGCAGCATTCCTCTCCTTCCTCCAAAATAAAACCAGTTTCTCAGTTTTAAAGAGGGCCCCAATTCCTCCAGACTTCTTTATGGACTAATTGCTCAGAATAACCACAGAGCTGCAAACAAGTCTAAACTCCTGTTTGCAGTGGGGTGTTTCTGTTTGACAGGCCAGAACCATTTCATCAGCATGTCCTAATTATAAATATGACCTTTGGGTTAGACCAGACCTAGAACAATACAAGCCCAAACCTATGTTCAGCAGCATGAGTCCTTCACCAAGCTCAGGACGGACAGTGGGGAAAGTGGTGGCTGCTACAGCCCCTTGGAGCCCTAATGTGACTCCAGAGAAGGAAGAAGGCTGGTTATTTTTTGTGATGGTCAGTCCAGTGTAGAGGGAGCTTATGCCAGTTTAATCTTTCTCTATAGTTTTTAGGTTAATTCTAAAATAAGGAGCACAGTGGTTCGTGTGCACCAGCTGGAGTTTTCTAGGTCACAGAAAACGTGGCTAATGCAGGGATGAGCCAGCCAGGCGTGCTCTGGAGCCACGGTCAGCAGTGCCTGAGCCATCCTCATCGTCACCCTCATCCCTGTGGGAGCTGCACGGGCAGAGCTGTGCACTCACCTCTGCACCACAGCCTGAAACCGGGCTTAAGAAAGCATTACCAGGACATGACCCCAAGCCAAAAGCAGTTGGGTCCCACACAGTCCCGCCGGGCAGAGCTTTTCCGAGCTCTCCCCTTGGCAACCCCCTGCCTCAGTTTCCCCATCCTGACTGCACAGCGGGTCAGCCCCTTGTTTTGGGATCCACTGGCCTGGGTGGCACGTGAGATCACCCCCAGCCACGGCAGAGGGAGGTGGCCACACACGGGCTGGTCCCGGGTCACCGTGGCCACGGGGTGTGCTTGAGGGCCAGCCCCAGGGCCACCACGGGTGGCTGTCACCCTGCAGCAGGAGCAGGACCTGCCGTTCACAGAGGGCAGCCAGCAAAGCAACCACCCCCCCTGCCGTGTTTGCTCAGAGCTGGGCAGCCTGGCTGATGGGGGGGATTATGGCAGCAGCTGCTCTTGCTGGGGGGGAAATCACAATAATAAATAAAACCCTGTGCCTGGTGCATCCCCTCTCCTGGGGCAGGCCAGGGGCTGTGCAGGGCTGGAGCCAGCTGTGCTGGTCACGGATGGAGATTTATTCTCCTGTCAATGCCCCTGGAATGCTGCTCCTGGTCTGGTTACTGCACCTGGCCATGGCTGGGCATGGTGGACAAATGCCCCATTTATTCCTGAGGCATCAGACCTTGCACGGGTGCAGACCCCAGGGGAAGGTTTGGCATGAAGCCGAGGGAAGCCACTGTCAAGACACCCACCTGCCAGCTCCAACCACTCAAGGGTTAAATACCCCCAGCCCCTGGGCTGGCAGGGATGTTCCCAGAGGCAGGACGTCAAATGGAAGCAGATTTTTGCATTTACCAGCTCTTGGTTCCAGGCTCTGGTGTGCTGTGGCCACCTGATGGCGATGCCAGACCCACTCAGGGCCAGGCTGATGTTCATCACCGTCAGAAGAGCACCCAGGTACCAAAACCTGGTATTTCACACACGGTGTGTGTTGGAGAGCTTCCCTTAGACTGAACAGCAACAGCAGGGAAGGAGGTGATCCCAGGCAGGGTCATCACCTGGACCGAGGTTAAATACCTGGCTGAGCAGCATCTTCCCAAAACAGCATCCAAAAATTAGTGCCCAGCTCACGTCCTGCTTCTCCATGTAAAACACATCCACTCTTTGCCCTTCCAGCTGACCCTGGGAAAAGTGAAGCACTGGGGACTCCAAGAGCAGGAAAAAATTAATGTTCTTAATTAAAGGACCCGGCAGCTCACAGGGACTGAGCTCACAGACAGCTCTCGGTGAAACCTCCAGCAATGCCTCATATATTTTATAAGCAACTGTGTAACCTCTTTTACTGCTCTGGAATATGCTGCTGCCTGCAGGGCCAAGTGGGATTCTGGAATACAACATTCAGGAGTGATTTAAAGTCACGGAAAATCGTCCTCCTTCTCTCATCCTGCAGGGGTTTAGCTCAGGCAAGGAGAGAAGCCCCAGGAAAGGTGGAGCACAGGACAACTGTCTGAGTGGCAGCTACTCCAGGAATGAGGTGAAAGAACCTGACAGGCAATGCAGGAGGGATCTACTCAGAGTTTTGGATGGGTATGAACCCTTACTGTTCACATCAGGAATCAGGAAGGATCCATCCCCATAAGCACCTGCCTTTCCTGGATGGGCCAAAGCCACCCTCCAGCCCCAGCACAGCCAAGGGGGCTTGAGTGACAAGGACCCCGACACGATCCCAGCCCTCTGGCACAGCAAAAACCATGGTTGGAAAAAAAAAAAACAACCTATCAGCAAAATTACACTTTATTTTTTTTCGCTGTGGAATTTACTTTGATGTATTGTAACTTAAAAAGGTCTGGAAAAACCACATGCAAAAGGATTTCTAAGTAGCAGCTAAAGTTTCTATTCCAGCATTACAAGCTATTCCAAATGATTTCCAAATTCCCAGCTATAAACTATTTCATAAACAGTTTTATCTTTAAACCCCCTCCACCCTACCCCAGTTAGTGCAGTGCAAAGGAAAAACCCAAGGAATTTACATATTATTTTCCAACGTATCCCATTGCAATTTCGAATGGTCTGCGATGAACTAAAATATATATACAATTTTCTCGCCATCATAAAAAAACATTTCCCTTTCTTATTCACAGATATATTTGTGGCAAATGGCTGAATAATTACTTACAAACAAAACAATCTTTTTTAACAAGTTTCTTACACCAGTAAACACAAGAGGGAGGGTTCCCTGGAGGGGAGGGGGTTTGGCAGGGCTGGGAGGGCAGCACAGGCAGAGGTTGGGGATCCCTTTGGGGCATGAGGAACAGGGGTGTCCTGGTCCCTGTGACAGGGACGTGCTCTCCCAGAGGGGATGACCTCGCCACCTTACAAAATTGGCCACGTTAAAGGGAGGGTCTGTAAGGCTTTAGGATCTGAGGCATAGTATGAGCCATCGTTTGTCACGTGTGTGTGTGTGTCCCATCCACCCAAATGCACCCTCAGCTCCAACACAGCTCCCGGAATGGGAACAGGGCCCTCTGCTCTGCACAGGAGCAGGGCATTGCCAGCTCTCTTCTAAGCTGAGAATCAAGGGGCTGGGAGGGGTTAGCACCAAACAGTACCTTGGGAAAGCCTTGAGCCCCCTCATGTTCCCATCACCTCACCAAGCAAGACCCATGGTGGGCATCTGCCCCAGCCACACTCTGCTGAACCCACCCCACTCCCCCTGTGGCACCCTGAACGGGGGCACTCACAGAGCTCCTGGAGGAATGGGAAGCAAAATAGGGTGGCTCTGGGCTTGTCACTGAGCAAAAGCTTGTAATTCCCAAGTTAACATCATTCCCTTGTCCTTAAGAGTCCCAAACTTCTATTTCTTATCCTGAGCATGGCACTGCTGCTACATCTGGATGCTGCACAGGGTACCCCTGTGCCAGGGACCAAGGGCATCAGCACTGCTCACCCACCCAATGCTGGCATCTCCCAGACATGCACCAGCACAATGCCAAGACCCCACACTGGGAACACAGCAGGACCACCACGAGTCCCAGGGGAACAAAGTCAGGGCATGGAAGCACCAGCTGAAAATGCTACGTATTGGGGGAAGCTGAAGGGCAGCTCCTGGGGCTCAGATACAGGAAAGTTGTTCCCTGTCACACTCCCACACACGTAGTTGTCCTTTGGAAGGGAATTCTGGAGCCAAAGAGTGAAGCCAGTCCCCAGCAGAAGACAAGGGCTGGGATTTCCAGCCGGCAACTCCAGACTTTGGGAAGAACAGGCTCAGACAGATGGTGCTCAGGACACAGCGGGAATGTCAAAACAGGCGGACCTTTACTTGACAGCAGCAGCAGTAACAGCCTGTGGGAGGAAGGGAGGAGGCAATGCTCACAGCCCCCAAAAGTGCACACAGCTGGGAAGAAGAGATGCTTTCACAACTCAGGGAGAGGAATCAGGAGTTGACACCGTAGCCCTTACTCAGGTGGGTTGGCCCTGAGCTCAGCGAGGTGGGACATGGTCATGGCTGCAAGAAAAATCAGCCTGGCTTGGGGGGGTCCTGCTGAGAGGGAGAGGAGGACAGACCCAGGGACACATGCTCCTCTGCATGTATCTGGTGTCTTGGTGGCCTCCAAAGCCCTTGTGTGGCAAAGCACATCTCCAGTCCTGCAACACACTGAGACCTCCTGCTCTCACCAGTGGGACCAGTCTGCTCCCTGGGCAGCCCCCTCCACCTGCAGCAAGGCTGCTGGGACTGAGGTGGTTGTAAAGAAAACAGGCTTGGGGATGCCAAAGCTGCTCCTTCCCCTCCTGTCTGATTTGAAGATCCACTTCCAGCCCATGTCTGATGGTCAAAATGGTTTCACAGCTGACATCCCTTCAGAGCCAAGCAACAGCCCTCTCCTCTGTGTGTCTCTGCTCTGCTCCTCACCCTGTCCCCTGCCAGGGACACTGCCAAAATCCTGACCTGGGGAGCCCACCCGAGTGGTGTGGGCAGGGGGTCTGCATTGTCTCCTTGGGGCTGGATCACTCCCTCCCCTTAGAAACCCCCAGATTCTCACCCCGGCACACCCAGGCACAAACCTTCAGCCTCACCCTCCCACCACCATCACCACGGTGGCTTTTAAAACACCTTTAAAAGAGAGGTGCAGACCCCCCAGAGTCTCTCAGCTCTGTCCATGCAGGGGGAGCGCAGCTCTCCCGGGACTCTTCCGCAGCTGCTACACCAACGTTATCCGACGGACCATCAATCTTCTATACATGGAACAGGAGCGGGGCCGGGGCGGCCCCGACATGTGCACACACACTGTACAGAGGAAGGATTGCTGAGGAGGCTGCGAGAGCAGTCCTGGGAGGCTCCTGGGAGGTGCCCGGCCGCGTCTCACGGGGAGCTGCGGGCGTCGGGACAGGCGTGCTCGGGCTGCAGCGGCTCTGGGCGCTCGACGACTTCCACCAAACATCCCCGCAGTCACTGCACCCCCTCCTCTTCCACGTACGTCGAGGGAAACCAGCCGACCTGTGGGGGATGCACAGAGGTGAGCTGGAGGCTGGGGGGGCTCCAAGATCACTGCCCCAAGGCTGACAGAGATCAAGGAATGTTCGGACAATGCTCTCAGGTGCATGGTGGGACTGCTGTCGTTTTTAGGGCCAGGAGTTGAACTTCGATGATCCTTGTGGGTCTCTTCCAACTCAGCATGTTCTGTGATTTTAGAAGGGACCTCCTGTCCTGTCACTGGGACTATTCCCCTACCACCGGGTGCTTTCCCAGTGAGCCATTTGCAAAGTCCTGGATGTGCCCACAGTGGTGCTGGTGGTCAGCCACCACCCTAATTTGGGACAGAGCTATCACCTATACACAGGTTGCCCACAATATATAAGGGATCAGGGCATGAAGAATCTGTACCCAGAGCTACAAACTGTGGGACACCAGGCCAAGTCATCAGCTTGCTACCTTTCCCGGGATGCTGAGCCTTCCCCTGGCAGAGCCACTCCTGCATACATCCCCCACATGCAGGTTTGAAGAAGAGCAGACTCAGACATTGCCCACCACCCACTGCATGCTCCCATCTACCTATGTGCACCAGGGTTCGCTGTCACTGTCACACAGCATCAACTGGCAACAGAGCAGTGGCTCTCATGAGATGACAGCCCACCCAGGATCCGGGAAAGAGCAAGAGGGAATGGGAAAGAGCAAGAGGGAATGTCTTTTGCTGTCCTGACAGCGGGGAGGACTGTGCGCTGCAGAAACAGGACAGGACATTATCTGGATGCACTCACTCTTCCGTTGGTTTCCCCCTTCCACCATCCCTGGTCCCCGCCAATCCTGCTGTAGATCTTCACCACGTCGCCCTCCCGCAGCGAGAGCTCCCGCATGTCCCGCGCCGCGAAGTTGTACCGAGCCACCGCCGTCCCTATGACCCGTGGGGTGAACACTGCCAGGGGACAAAGCACAGGGGTCGGGAGCTGCCCCCACCACGTGGGACCGGCTGAAGCCTGGGGAAAAGCTTGGTGAGGTTCAACCTGGGTTTTCCAGCACGGCTCCCATCGCAGCACCGTGGCCTGGAGGGACTGAACTCATCCAAACTGCTCAGCCCGCAGGGACTGGGGTGGCTGGGGTTAAACGGGATTCCTGTTGAGCTTGGGAAACCCCTCTCTGCCAGGAGGGCCTTGCTGGGGATCTCTGGGGTGAAGGGCATTTTTGTGAGGAGGTAAAAGAAAGGATTTCATAGGAATACACAATCACTAACAACGAAATCATGGAAAAATCCTGTTCCACTCACACTCTCAGGTCTGGCTGCTGCACAGCTCGCAGCACCTGATGGAGCCACGTATCAAAAAACTTCATAAATCAACTTCAAAAACTGAGTTATTGGGAATGAATTCTCCTAGAGGTGTTGAGCAAATCCTGTATGCTTTGCCACGAGGAGGAAGAGGCTGCTAACCTGGATCCTCCTGGCTTCTGCCTGTTCCAGGGAGCACCCAGGGCCCTTGGAAACTTGGTCCCATCACAGATCAAACGGTGCCAAAGCACCCTGCAAACCCTAATGCTGACCAACAGCTTGTGATGAGGAGGATGCCCCCATGAGCCATCCTGGAAGCACTGGCACAGCCCCAGCACCACGGATCTCCATCACTTCAGGCAGGGGATGCTCAAGGGAGGCACGAGGAGGAGCAGCAGTGAGGTAGGGAAGGCAGGGGTACTGCTCAGTGTTCCTGCCCCAAGGTCTGGGCAGGAGGAAGAAGGCTGGAGAGCAACAGAGGGAGGGATGGGATGGGCAGAGGGGGAAAAAAAATGTACCTCCTCTGAAGTTTGCAAAAAAAACCCCCACCCTGAAGGGACGTTGTGTTTCAGTGAAGCTCCCTTCTTTGTCCCAGGATTTCCAGGGATTAATTTCAATTATAAAAGCGTGCAAACCAAGGTTGAACTAAGTCTGAGGAAAAGCTTTGCCCAGGTTTTCAGCTCTCGGGATGGAAGGAGATGAGGATGGCGATGGAGATGGTCCAGACACACAGCGTGCAATCACTGGAAGACTCATCCACCCTGGCCAGGCAGCCAGGCTGGAGAACAGAGCAAGAATCACAGCAGCTTTGAGCTCTTTCATCAGGACCTTGCTCAGAGCCCACTGCTGCACGTATTACCTTCTGCAATGCTTTCTATGCAGTTAAAGGACCTCAAATTCTCAGATTTATGCTTGAAAAGTTAAGCATTCTTCCCAAACACGGCACCAAGGAAGGCACGTGTGGCTTTGCTTAAATGGCAAGAAGCAAACTGGCAGGATTTTGCTCTGATCCCCCCCTCAACAGGGAGGATGACACCAGCCTGTAACACATTAAATCAATGGGGTTCAAAGGCCAGGGCACCACTGCACTCTCTGCAGGGAGACTGAGCCCCAAAAAACAACTCTGACAGCACAGGTTCCACCCCTGCCTCCTCAGCAAGGGGCTCCTGAGCAGCCTCAGATACCAGAGCTCAAAACCTGCTGGACACTCAGATGTTGTCCTTGAGAACAAGGAGGAACAGACTGGGGGACAGTGTGATGTCAATGCTCGTTTGGTGAAACACAGGGGATAAGCAGGTCGAGCTTGAAGTACATCACGAGATCCCAAAGTGCTGGATTCACTTTTTAATTAATTTTAGCCCCTTTTCTCAAATAGCAACATCTTTTCCCTGCCTTGATTCTGGGGAGAGAGTGGGGTGTGTTCTGCTCCCAGCCAAGCCGTGGTTAATTAACTTATTTCCAGGCTGTGCCCCAGGGCAGCACTGGGGACCCCCTGATCTGCCTGTGGGGATGGAGGGACAGCAGGGACCCCACAGGTCCCACTGGTGATGGCTTTCAAGCTGGGGATGGTGGCAGGTCTCTCCAGCAGGGAGAGGCACTGGTACCTGACCAGAAGGGACTGGAGGAGCTCTGAGAAGAAAAGTTGAGGCCCTGAGGACTGAGAAAAGAAAAGTTGTAGGAAGCGCAGGAGGCTGCAAAGAGGTTAGAGAGAAACAGAAAGAGGCAGAACACGCATTAAAAAGGAAATTAAAAAAATATTATAATGCACAGCGCTTTAAAAGCTGATGGAGAAATACAGGGTAAAGCATGCAGAGGGTCTTGTGTAGGGGCTTGGAGCTGGGACAGCTGACAGAAGGTCTGGCCACAGCCCCACAGCCAGTGTAGGGGCTCAAAATTCATCCTATGGTTGTATTTCATACAAAAGGATATATTTAATCAACTTTTAAAACCTATCTTCCTTTGATATTCTTTTTTAAACATACCACGGAGAAAATTTTTTTAAATTGATTTTTTCCCTCACAAAGTAGTTAGTTCTGAGCTCAGGCTTTTGGACAAAACAGCACTTTTTGCCCTACTGCATTTTTGCTTTCCATTTGTTTTGATTTTTTTTCCTTTCTTTTTGTTTTAGACACAGACTTACCATTTCACCCATGATCTCCATTAAAGGAGTCCCACTGGGATTCAAACCACAAGTCACACTGGAGCTGGATCCATTAAAACACATGCACGAGAAACTCATGTAGGTGGGGCAAGACACGGTAAATCCCACTAAGTGACCATCACATCCCTGCTCCTGACCTGCAGGTGGATGGGATGCTCTGGCAGGACCAAGGGACGGGAAAACCACCCCTGAGCACAGGGTCCAAAACCACAGGAGGGGAACCAGCCTCTCCTGGCAAAAACTCTCCCTCAGATCCCCCTGATCCACCACCTGCTGTGAGACTCGTCCTCAAAATGCCACCAGCCAAGCAGACGATTTATCTGCGAACTGAGGAATTCAAGCGCTACAGCAAAGCTATAAATCCCTTCATCCAGTGCTCCTACACCTGGCTGGAAGGGTGAGGTTTTCCGTGACAAGTTTAACTGCCCCCAAGCTGGGTTCTACCTGGGGAGCGGGTGAAGGTCCTGGAGGTAGAGCGCTCCCGAGATTTGTAGGGGTATTTCAGTGTCGTGTCCAGCTGCTTGAAGCTCTCCTTCAGCGAGTGGCTCTGGTAGTACTCGACCAGCTCCTGGGAGGGATGGAGAGGCACCTGGTTGTCTCTGTGTGACTGGCAGGGACAGTGCACATGCTACAAGGGGAGACAAAAACCTACCAGCAAGCTTTCGAACTTCTTGGCTTCTGTGATGTGAATCCAGTTGTCCTTCTCCACCACCTTGATGTGCTTCACCTCCTCGTTGAACCTGCCAACGGCAGCAAAGGCACTCAAGAAAACACACCTGCGTGTTCCAGCCCCAGCTTGTCCTCCAGGAGCGAGAAATACTAAATTATTCAGTTACTAAGTGAAGTTATCACTCACTTAATACTGATGGCAAAGCGCTCGGCCTCGGCCGGCCGCTCCCGGATCAAGTAGGTGCCGCTGACGTGAGACTTGAGCAGGTTGTCCGTCTGCTGCCGCTCCATGTTCCCTGCAAACCTGAGCCCAGAGGTTAACTGGTTAATTTAATTAACTGAAATGAATGCATATCTTCAAACAGGCATGTTTTGGATAAAAAAATACATCATCTTCTGAAGGCGTGAAGGTTGGGAAGGCAGGTAGAGGAACAGGTCTCATCCAAGTTGGCACGAGGAGGAAGGAAAGTGCCCTGAGATATAAAAGAAGCTGTTGAGCCACTGAAGTGTGGGTGAGCACTGCTAAGTGTGACCTCTTCACTAATTGAGAAACAGTCCCCAGGTTAATGAGGCTTCAGCAAGTGGATAATTTATATCCATGAATTTGTAAACCTGGCTGGAGCTGGAGGGAAGGAGCAGCAGGCAAGCCAAGCACAGCCTCTCCCGCCAAGGCAGGAATTGCCTCCTTCTTCTCAAAATGGTTCTCTGGGCACAGAAAATGGGAAGAGAAACCACCATCTCTTTTAGCCTCTGACTGTCTCCACCAATGAAGAAATCCTCATGGATACTGCCAGGGCTGCACCAGCTTTCAACACCCAAACACCAAGGTGGCAGCTGCCCTGTGGCCACAGGGAAAGCAGGATGCAAGTCACTGCTAGCCTGCATTCAGAATTCCTTACTGGAGTGGATTCCTGACAGAGTAACAACCAAAAAGCAACGCTGGTTTATGGTTATAGCCAGAGGAGGGTCGACTCACCACGGGTACGCCGTGTAGTCGATCTCCCGCGAGGGCGGCCGGCTGTTGGGAGGCTGCAAAGACAGAATTGCTCATTAGTGAAGAGCCAGCAGCTCATCAGGCTGTGGATCACGTGGGAGATGCTCCTCTCCACAGGAGGGTTCCTTCTGCCAAGCTGTTCCTGGATTATCGGCTTGGGCAGAGGAGGGCAGTGTTGTAGCTGAGCATTTCCCTCTCAGCCTCCCAGCTGGGATGAGCAGGCTGCATTTGTTCATTTACCTGAGTGGTTTTTAATTGGGAAGCAGCTGACAACATTACAGAAAACAGCTAAAAACAATTAAAATAAATCAAATACAGTTTTCCTGCACTGTGCCTGATTTCAAGTCCTCTGCTCCCATGTCAGCCCTGCAGAGGAGGAACAGAGTCTGGACCTGGTCACACCAACCCCAACCTTGGGAACAGGGCTGAGACTTATGCAATTCAGACATCTGCAACCATGGGGTGAGGGAACCACCTCCTTGCTGATTCAGCCACAGTAGAGGCCTCATTGAAGGTCCAGGGGCTCACTGGGAGGACCAAGATCTCAAGTAGAATGCTGAGAAGAGCAACAGGGACCACTGGAGCACTCCCACCCACCCTGGGCTCCATCTCCTCTTTGGCACTTACCCTGGCATCCACAGGGCAGGGCTTTACTGATGAGCTGGGGAAATAACCCGACTTCTTCGTCTGCAGCAGCCGTCCCTGCAGAGACAAGCTGGAATCAGACTGGGGAGAGCACGGGGAGCACTGGTGTCACTGTGCAGGGAGTGGGACAGGCTCCAGACTGCCTCCAAACCCCCAGCACTGCCCTGCCCACAAATAAAAGGGACAGTGCAGAAGACACTGGTTTAAAACCTTCCAGGAGTTTTCCGAGGGGAATCGTTCTCACCTCCCACCATGGAGAGTCTGGGTCCCCCCTCAGCAGCTCGATCACATCCCCAATTTGAAAGGTCAGCACCGGCTTCCCAGGAGGGGCTGGGTTTCCATGGTAATTCTGAACTGCCACCATTTTAGGACCTGGGAGAAAAGGAAAACAGTTTCATCACCTTGTCCCTGTTCAAAAAAACCCAAAACAAAACTCCCCCTCCTGAAGCCTCGTTCCTTATCCTATGAGCCACAAACCCAAAGGCACCAGCAGGCAGGATCTGGGGGGCAGAAAGCATGAAAGCAGAAAAGAACAGTGTCCACAGTGAATGTTCTTGGCTCCTGCAGTTACACAGATAACTGAGTTCCCTGAGCAAAAATAAACCCATGAAGGACCAAGCCCGGCCAAAGCTCCAGCTCCCAGCCCTGCACCTGGATTTGAGCCTCACTGAGGCAAAGCCTGGCTGGCACCAAAACCCACCAGGCTCAGTGGTGACACCAGGATTGCAGAAGGGACCAGGAGTGCAACACTCAGGATTGCAAAAGGGCCCAGAGAACACTCAGCTTCCACCGAGTGTCTGCTGAACCTGGGACTCAAATGCCCCTGAAGCTCCCAGTCAAAGTCCAGTTGTCTTGCCAACAACTGCACATTAAATAAGCTCCCCCAACTGCACTCAAACCACAGTGTTTATTTTCAAAGCACTTCCCCACCTCTGCCTCTCCCCACCCAGCGAGAGCACTCTCTGCTTGCTTTTTTGTTTTAATCACCAATTTGATTCAGGTTTCTTTTCGCCAGGCTTGGCTTTCCTTCCATCAGAGAAAGCACAAAAACAAATTGTTCTTCTCCTTTGAGCCAGAGCATGGGCAGGGCAGGCCTGGAGCTCTGTCCAGACCAGTTTTAAACAAAGAAGATAAATAATATTGCAGTAATCATCATGACTGATGGCCCATCAGAGAGGGCAGTGCCTGGAGCTGCACATCCCTGGAGCACACTGGACATGCCAACAGAAGATGCTCCTCCTCAACAACAAGTCTTCCTGCCAGGATATGTTTTGTCTGCCCTCCTGTAAAACAGTACTGTACTTACCAGGTCCAGCACCCAGTGAATCCTGCAAAGAAAGAGCAAAAAGTCTCTGTGAGGACACATCAGTCTCAGTTCTCTCTATGAGCACCCACCTGAAGACAACATGATGAGAAACTCTCTCCCAAAACCTCCCTGGTAACCCCCAGCCCATGGTGCTTGTCCCAGCTGGGTGCTGGCATCTCCCAAGGGCTGCAGTGCTGCACAAACTGGGCCAGTTTTAGGCTGGAAAAGAGGCCACTGGTCCCCAGTCCTACCCCTCTGAGGCCTCTGATTGCTTTTCCCACGAGCTGCCCATGGCTGGACTGGGTAAGGACACAGGCTCTGCCTAAGGCAGAGGGGGATGAGGAAAAGGGACATCAAACAACCTACCTGGTCTGCTGAAGAACCTGCAAGAGAAAAGGGTGGAATAGGTGGTTAATTTAACAGGCAACAAACCCCATTTTCTGTTTCTCTTGACACTGAGAGTTCCAGTAAACCAGCCATCTCTGTGTGAACTGACAGAGGAAGCCCAAAGCAGAGCTGGGGTCACTCAGGCTGTTGCTCTGCTCTTGACGGGCAAGATGCAGGGATGGATTGGAGCTGGACAAGGACATTCCCTCATCTGCACAATACTCTGTGATTTTGTTTCTTCCTCTCTCCACTCCCCACTCAAAAACCTACCTGGAGCCACCCTGTGACAGCCCCTTGCCCCAAGCAGGACCAAGGCTCTGACCCAGGCAGAGCTGAGTCACAGCTTTGCCCAATTTAGAGCAAGGACACAAATTTTTGCCATACTATGGGATATGTGGGATCCAGAGACAAGGTTTCTCCTCATCAGAAATGTTATCCCTGCTGCAGACCCTCCTATTTCATTATCCAATATCTTCTGATGAAGAACTCATCATCTCTCTTAAATGCCCACCCAGCACACAATGCTGCTGTGATCCTCTTGACATCCATGGGATGCAGCTCTTTGCTTTGGGTGGTTCTGGTTGGTTTGTTTGTTTTTTAAACCACCAGCCAATGTAAATTACGGCCCTGGGAGGTGGGTGGGAGCGCACTTATATTTTTTATGCATTAACAAGCATTAGTGCTTAATAGAGAAAATCTGTCAGATAATTCACGTGCAGCATAAGATGCTCATGATGTGAAATAACTCACCCATCTTGCAGGGAGGAATGATCTCCAAGCACTCCTTATGAGCACCTGCTCCACATTTGGGGCAAAGATAGCCTTGGTAGAAGGTTCCTCTGTGTAAAAAAAAATAAATAAAAAAACAAGTCAGAAAATCCTAATCCAGCCTCAGCTCTGAGGTTTTCCTTCCATGTTTCAATGCCAATGCAGAACAGCTGGAAGGTTGTTGCTCACCTCAGGAACATCCTGCAGGCTTTGCAGTTGGTCGTCTTTTCAAATGTGTACATCTGAAAGTTATGGTGATTTGCATTGGCTTTCTCTGGCTTTATGTTGGACCTGAGGGAAAGGATTGAGGGGTTATCAATCTGTCCCCACGAGTGGCTGTTTGCATTTCAGTCAAAGCCTGGACACCACATGGACAGATACGAAATCAAATGTGAAAGGAGACTCAGGGCTCGACTGTGAGAGGGAGGATTTTGCCCATCAACCTTCCCCTGGGACAACAGTCACGGATTTGGCCCTTGCCCGAGTCAATCATCAGCCCAGATCTGTCGGCGTGGGGCCGATCCCTGCTCTGCTCAGGATCAGGTCCTGCAGCACCACCCTCCTCCAGTGCCAGCCTGGTACTTCCCCCACAGCCCTGCACCATGGCAGGGTGTCATTTCAGAGAATCACAGAATGGTTTGGGTTGGAAGGGACCTTAAAGCTCATCTCATTCCAACTCCCCTGCCATGGCAGGGACACCTTCCACTATCCCAGGTTGCTCCAAGCCCCGTCCAACCTGGCCTTGGACACTTCCAGGGATGGGGCAGACACAGCTTCTCCGGGTAACCTGTGTCAGGGCCTCACCACCTCACAGAGAATAATTTCTTGCTAATATCCAATATCAATTTCAGAGATAAAATCCAATTTCAGAGATGCACCACCCATGCTTTGGTGTGGATGCTCAGAGTAGATGGTTTCAGGTTCCCTTTGCACAGGGACTGATCCAGCAAGTCCATATGAGCTTCCCCATCACAGGTTTTGCTATCAGAGCTGGTCTCCAGTGACCTGATGGTCCAAGACACTTTTCTCCTACACTTGGGAACTGCACCCAGGGCTAGAGCAGCCACTCATGCTCACATTGCCATTTCAAACTGCTCCATCCACTTCCTCTTCATTTCTTCTGTCTTGCAGAAGAACTGGAAGCCCTGCTTCCCCTGAAGGTGGATTAGGTAGAAGCCGTATGACCACTGCAAGAGAAAACAAGAGCGTTGATCTCGCTGTGCTCCCAACACCTGAGCAGCAAAATGCATCACATTTCCATGCAGGCACCTCAGTAACTGCTGAGTGCCTGCCCCTGCCCCTTCTGCTGAACCTTGCACAGGCAACAGCAGGGAAGGAGGAAGAACAGCTCCCTGTTTCTCTAACACATCACAGCTAATGATGCCTGAACTGGCTCGGCGCTGCGCACTTGGACCAAATAGGATTTCATGGTGGCAGATGAGAGAACCCAGATTTTTCTGCTCCACTGGAGCCTCCCCAGCCATTATATCTCTCTCTGACAGCTACTGACAGCCCAGGAGGAACATCTGACCTGCCCACCACACATATGCTCAGCCTGTCTCATTACAACACTGCACAGAAACACAGGAGAGAGAAGTAGGTGCTTTGCTTACCATTTTTCCATGAGACTAGAAAGCATAGGAGAGCAAAGTGGAAACACATTTCATTAACACACAAAGCTAGCAGCATTTCTTCAGCAGCCAAGTGGCAAAACTGGCTATTCTTACCCCAATTTCCCTTTATCCCATCTATACAATACCTCTTCCCATGGCATGTAAGTGGATTAAGCTAATGGGGCTCTGCTAAAGCGATAGCTGGGAGGTTTTCCTTAGCCCTGCAGACTGAGCCTCAAACCACCAGCAAAATGATGTTCCTTCAGTGCTTCGAGTGCCAGTTTTGGCAGGCTGGTGTGCAATGCTCAGGCTGCCTTTCCAGGCTCCTCCACCCCACAGCTCATGGGAGCGAGAGCATCCGAGTGGACCTTCCCTCCCTCCCTGCCCTCCTCTGCCTCCCTGTCTGACGTTTGCTCCCTGATGGTGGGCCAGAAAGCAGGGAGCAGCTTCCTCCCTCCTAACTCCAACCATCCCAGCCTCCTCAGGGCTGTTTTGCAAGAACAGAGAGGTCAAGGATCCAGCCCAGCCCCACATTAATAAACATTTCCCAAAGCTCTGTAAGGCTGCCTTGAAAGATGAGCATTTATTTTCCAGCTTTTTTTGCAGGCACTGTTTCTACTTTAAAAGGCTAATGGGAACATACCCTGAAACAGCTCCAAAATGCTCTCCAGCAGAGCCAATCCTTGGTCCACCTACCTTCTTAATGTCCTTGTTATTCATGGGGTCATCAGTCATCTTGTGGAAGAGCAGCTCAATAATTTCTTTCAGCTCATAATTGTAGCCTTTCCTTTTGCAGACGATCACCACTTTATCAAATAAAAATAAATACCTGCCCAAAGCAAACAAATAAACAAGGAACGCAGTTAAACACCTCATCAAAGTCCCCATCCAAGGGAAAGGATTTGGAAAGCTCTGCAGAGCTTTCCAGCCAGCACCACTCAACGTTTGGACCCTGCTGTACTTTCACATTGATGGTGGGTTCTGTCAGTGAAAGTCCGGGCAATAATTAAAATAAATGATCTCAAGGGGAGTCACCAAACAAAGGCACATTTAGTTTGGGAATATTTCTGAGTGCTGTTGCTCACTCACCTGTCCTGCTTGGTGTGGTTGACTATGGAGCGCACCTTCAGCTCCCCGTCGATCTTCGGCCTCCCAAACTCCTCCAGCTTCACTTGCTGCAGAAAGCAAAGCAGGGCTGAGATCCACAGCCAGGGCTGGAATGATGCTTTGGGGAGGTGGAAACCCAAAGCTGCCTGGATTGCACCCCCCAGCCCTGCTTTGAGCTGCTGAAGCTCCTGGGAGCAGCATCGCCCTCACCAAGGGGAGGGAAGATGCTCCCAAGGGGAGCTCAAGGATGCTCCAAAGGGAGCCTGTGCACGAGCAGGACCACTGGGGACCCCTGGACCTCCAGCACTGGCATCCCAGGGCAAGGTTCAGCAGATAAAGCATTTTTACAAAGTTTGGGATCTGGAAAGCAAACCCCTCGCCAAAATAAGCTATTTTCCAGAGGTTTCTACAATAATTAAGGATGTCCCTGTCTGTTAAATAACCACCAATTACAAGTTCACTGTTTCCAAATGAAGTCAGGGCTTAAAGCCCCCAAAGTTAGCAGCCCTCCAGGAAGCCCTTGGGGTGGGCAGCCCCCAGCACCTCCCTCCATCACCCTTTTGAAGTATCTCAGGTGTCAGTCCCCAAATTGCATTACCCAGTGTAAAGTGTGACGGAGGAGCAGCTGCACCCACAGCTGACCAGCCCCCCCTCCATCCCCTCAAATCGAAGAAAAGCTCATTAGCTTGAAGGTCTGCCACTGAATATCAAATTACGGGGTTTGTTCAGGGCTAAAGTGAGTGCTGGGCTGCACAGGGGCAGCTGATGCCCAGTAATGGGACTGTTTGATACCTCTGGAGTTTGGAGGATGAGATTCTCCTTAAAATATCTGGTTGGGATTTTGAGGATTAAGTGTGTTATTATGTCAGCTCTTCTCCTCCACTTTCAGTTAACTTCTGCCCTCTTAACAGCAAAAGAAAACCCACTTTAGGTAGCAGATAACAGATTTGAGGAATTCTTGGGTTCCCCCTACACTAATAACATGAGAAAAAGTCAGAGACGCATTTTCAGTGCAACACCACCACAAGAAGTCACTCTCCATCACAGACAAAGCACCTTTGTGATGTAGCAACCACTTATGGACCATCAGCAAAACCACTGCCAGTGACAAGGGAGTGTCCAAACACATTGGGTAGTACACCAGAGTAAGTAATAATTGCACCAAAAAAAAAAGTAAAAATGTTAATAAAATTAATTTGGGTTCAAGAGGATTTTTCAGCTTACCAGGTTTTCTATAGAGCTCTGAAATTCACTTATTTTCTTTAAAGTCTCCTTGTCCCTCTTTACTTCATTGATGTACATGGCCAAGTCCTTCAAAGAAAAGTGAGGATATATTTTTATTTTTCAGATGACAGTAGTACCCTACCTGAGCAGGACCCACACGAGCATGGCTCCCTGAATCCCTGAGGAATCCGAGCAGGACTCCACAGCAGCCTGGGACATCTGAGTACAGGCTCTTGGTGCTCCCACTGCTGAGCCAGGCGGGTGCTGCAATTTTTTCCGTTTCCCAGAAGATGGCAATGCATGAATCCACAGCAATGTATAAACCCAGTGCAGCACAGCAAACCCAGCCTGTGGCTGTTACCTGCTAAGAGCCTGAGCCAGGCACCCCCTGCCTTGCCCCTCTGCCTGGCAGCATCCTTCCTTCCCACCTTTCATCACCGTCATTCCCTACATCCCCCCGGATACGAAAGCTGCGAGCCAGTCTCTGCTGTCAAAACATCCATGTCTGTAAAGTAACTGCTCTGGACACCTGGCTGCATGTTAGCTGTGAACAGATTTGACTTGGCTCTGCCTCTCTTGCTTCCAGCTCTTTTCCCTGGGTGCTCCAGATCGCACCCAAGTTGGTGAGAGCACTGGGATCTTCATGCTCAGTCCGTCCCGGGATATCCCACAAGAGCATCCCCACCTCCAGCACTTCTGGGCTCCAACATCTCCCACCACACAAAGGCTGTATTGTAAAATAAGGAGATGGTTGATGGAGCTTGTTCTGTCCTCAAAAATTCCTCACTTATCCAAGTTTTGATCCACTAAAGAGAAGGAACCCAATCTTTCTACTAAAAGAACCTGTTTCAGAGCCTGTTTGCTTCTTATCTGCTCCCTCCTTGTCCTCAACAACAGCTCTTGTCAACTTGCATTAGATCCAAACATGGAATTTTTTAAGACATCCCCTCTGGGTCAGACCTTCCTCAGCTTCCCAAGAGAAGATGGGTTAATCACAGACGATAATCACATATCTACGTGACAATACTTATAAACATCACAGAACACCCCACTGGGCAGTAGCAGGGATGGTGATGGGAAATGACACAACCAAAAGCCTTATGAAGCAGTATCCTCCACCATGCTTGAGCACTGACCTCAGCTCCCTCCTGCTGAACAGGGGAAACACAATCCCAGGATCAACCACGACTTGAAACAACAATACACAAATGTGGGCTGCAGGATTTCACTGGGAATTGCGTTGTCCCACCATCACCTAGGGATTTGGTTCTGCATTCTCAGACAGAGGATTGGTAACTGTACCAAATACCACCACCACAAACAACTTTTTTTTGTGTAAATCCTGCCCCTGCCCTGCACAAACAACTATTCATGCAAAATAAAAGGGAAGTGAATCACTTTGGGAAACATTGCTCTATTCACCCCCTGCACAGCTCTCACCCCAGACAACAGCAGTGTCTGCTGCCTGCCAGCACAGCAGACAGTAAGGCTGGACTTGTGATGAAAAACATCACTTGGAGGTTAAGCCTTGGTTTGCAGATCAATTCAAACCAAACCGAATGGCTTCCGATGCCCCCGCCGAGCCCAGCGCGGTCGGAACTGCACCCGCGCTCTCCTGGCGATGGGGAGAAGAAGAGAGAAACCTCCCTGATGGCTATCGGCAGCTTCCTGCAAGGAATGCTGAGTCTGCAGCACAGCCAGAGCATATATACATTTATTTATTAGCAGTGGTGCTGGCAGTGCTGGATGATGAGGCCATAAGCAGGGTTTAACTGCTGTCACCGGGTTTAGCGTTCATTTGAGGCCACAGAGCAGGAGAGGGCTGTGAATACAACGTCCTTCAAACAACCTTAACTCTAACGTGACCCACATATCAGCTCTGGACTCCCGGGCCTGGAGGGATAATGGCTGGAAAGGTCACCCAACTTATGTAAGTGCCAGGAAATGCAGGGATGTTACAAAAGCTGCGGCTCAGAGATGGAAAACAGAGTGACCATGAACACAGGAGCAAACCCTGGGATGAATCCTGAGATGCTCTCCAGAGAGAAAATCTGGAGTTAATGAGCATCTTCAATTCAGGTTCTGCTGCTGATGGTCCCTTGGTGTGAGTCTGTGTGTGTGTGGGTACATATCCCAGTCAGAAAACATTTGGATGATCCTGTGACCCTATGATTTTTTTTGTTGTTGTCGTTGATGGTTTTCATGAGATTTTGGGGGTTTCAGCTGAAAGCTCTAAAAAAAACTTTAAACAAAGCAAAATGTTGACACCAGAAGCCTTCAACTGTTGAAAGAACATTTTCCCCTTAACAGAAAAATTTCCTTGGATAAAAGGATTCCCACCCAGCACCTGGATAACAGCACACAGGGAACGCTCTGCACACACAGGCTCCCATTTCTGCAATACTCCCCGGCTTGCTGATACGTCTGGAGTTCCTCCAGATCCCTCCCAGCAAAAACAAGAGCCGGATCTGGCACGGCCTCTTTACACACAATAGCAATCAGTGAGAAGTCGTAACTTGTCAACAAACACCAGCTTCCCTCAGCTGCCTCGGGAGGGAGACGGCAGCGAGGACTCCAGATCTGCTGCGAAGCCATCTCATCAAATGGCGATCAATACACACGTGTGTGTCCAAAAGGAGGAGGTACTGCCTTCCCTCGGGCTGCAGGATGGTTTGGTTTTTGCTGTCTTAGTTTTTGTTTTACAGAGTAGAGGGGTCCAAGGCTCTGCTGCACCCCAAGCCCAGCACTGCCCCACCGCCGCTCTCATCCTCCTGTACCTGCATCGCCTCCAGAGCCTCCTTCAGCTGTTGCTTCTCTGGTCGGTCTGAGGAATGGCTGAGCAGCTCCTGAAAAAGCATAAATAAATAAAAATAAAGAGTTTGGAGGTGCTAGGAAAACTGTGCAGACCCTGCCTGCACCGGACAGGCTCTGACCACAGGCACCTGCCTGAGCAGTGGCAGGGGCGCCGGGGTGGCTGCAGGGATGTCTAGGTGATGGTTGGGATGGCAGGGATGCCTGGGTGATGGCAGGGATGGCAGGGATGCCTGGGTGATGGCAGGGATGCCTGGGTGATGGCAGGGATGGCAGGGATGTCTAGGTGATGGTAGGGATGGCAGGAATGCCTGGGAGGTGGCAGGGATGCCTGGGCAGGCGGTTGTGGCCGTAGGACAGGGAACATGCCAAGTGGCTGGTGCTTGAGAGATCTGTTACACAGATTTGACGGGCGGAATTTCACACATAATCAGATTATATGCAAGCTTATTTTATATTCATTAACTGCCTCTCGTGGCTAACAAGTGCAGAATTACCCTAGGTCACCGTACTTTAAGAGATGGCACAAATATTATTATGTCGTGTTAAGGAGCTTCAGTAATTACATCATTTGAAGGGGAAAAAAACTCCAAACCTCCCTCTGCATTTGGCAACAATTCACTCTCCACTCAAAGAGCTGAAAGATGTTACAGAGAGGGCAGAAGCTGGAGAGAAATGCCAGTGCTGAAAAACTTACCTTCAACAGGAGATGATATTTCAAAACTCTCTGCATTGGAACCACCAGCAGATCTTGCAATTTAAATTTCCCATCCTGGACCTTTAGTGTGCATTCCTAGTAAAGAGATCAATAAATCAGGTGGGGAAAACAATGGCTCCCCCCAGACAAAGCCTCCCCTGTCCTGTGGTTGTTTGTTTGGTTTCTGTAAACTCAGTCCTGATGCCCACAGGCTCGTGGTCCCTGCAGGCACCCAGCCAGGGCCGGGGCTCCCACCATGGAGGTTATCAAGGAATTAAACCCAGAGGCTGGACCCTAAAATACAGGCATTCTCATGCAACTGAGCTACTCCAGCTTAATGAGATGCTGCTCATTAGGGGAACGCTCCCGGACCTGGGGAAATGTCAAATGAAACACATTAACTTCAGCCACCTCCTGGCTGGGCTGAACTAATGTGTTTTATTTGTGAGGGGCTGGCAGGGAGCACGCAGCCAGTGGCTCTGGCGTCGCTGGTGAGCATTAAGTCATTAAGATGAGCTAATGTGGTTGCAGGAAGTTTTGCCACCGTTACCTTCACCCAGACCCATTCAAATAACGTGATTTGGCTGCCTGAGACCCTCTGTGTTCCCAGGGAGGGAGAGAAAGGAAAAGCACAGGAGCAGCTGGATGCTACAGCCACTGGCTTTATTAAAGGCCCAAAGAACACGTTTTAAACAATTCTTAAATGCAGTTTTACCCCTGAATTGGGTTTACATGGAAAATCAAAGAGCGTTTGCGGAACGGGAGGTAACGTGTACAGACAGCCCGGCAAATTCCGATTAGCATCAGGACCAAAGCAGGAATTAAAGCTGGGTAAAAACCAGCAGCTCAAACAATGCCTCCCTTCTGGGGCTCCTTTGATTCACTTAATATCTGGATCAGCCCCTATTTACACTAAGCCTTTATGCTGTGGAAGGAGGACAGGGCGGTAATCCGGGTGTTCGCCTGGAGACTTGGGTTCACCTCTGATGGTCCCTGATGCTGCTGGTGACCTTGGGAAACCATGTGGCTCCTGGCTTGGGGATGCTCGGGGCATTTGGGTCTCCCTGCACATTTCAAAGAACTTGTCCCAGCCTGTCCCACTCAAATGAAGTCACTAGTTTGTTTTAACTTGGATAAACTCAGGCAGGAAGGACAGAGTGTGTGTCTGGCGAGGAGATGAAGGGGCAAACAGGGGATCAGGATGAGACACCCCCCAGCTTTGCTCCTTCTCCGAGCAGCACAGACACACTCTCACATCCCTCTGTTCTTTGCTAACTCAAACATTCCCAACACAGCATTCTTGGCTCCAGCAAGTCCTTCCAAAACCCCTCACAAGGGGGAGGGGGGCAACACTCTGCCCCCAGTGCCCCCTGCCCACTCACCTCCACCTTCTGCCGGACGTCCTCCCGGTTGGCAAGGAGGTGGTTGAGGGTGTTCTGGGCATACTCCATGTGGCTGCAGTACTTGCCATAAATCAGCAGCCTGGAGAGGGGGAAAATCACAGATTTAATCAGAAACACTTGCTGGTAGTTATAACCAGTTATAAAAGATACATATGCACGTGGACACAGTGAAAGGACAAGGCAAACAGCTAATCCTCCAGGTAACTCATAGCAAGGTATTGACACTCCTTTACTGCGTGGCTTTTTAACACTTAAATCTTCGACACTTAAATATTCAGAAGTCTCCAGAGTAGGAGCCTGTGGGATAATTCAGCTCATGATGAGCAGAAGGGGTTGAGTGGCCAGAGGAGGCTGTTTTTGGAGCTACGATGGCTCACCCCTCCACTCCTGTCAGCCTGGGCTGGTGGAAGGTGTCCCTGCCCATGGCATGGGGTTGGAACTGAATGAGCTTCAAGGTCCCTCCCAACCCAAACCATTCTGTGATTCTGTGATGATTCTATGACACATTTCAGAGAGCTCATTGCTTTTTGCAGCATGTGCCACAGGGACGTAGAGATCAAGAGAATGGGTCACCGAGAAAAGAAGGTTGTCACAGCCTTTGGAAACGCAGTGAAGCTCTGTATGGACACCCCGGGCTATAAATTTAAACACCTGACAAAACAGAGCAGTTTTGCCATGGATTCCCCCTTTTTCCTCACTTCTCTCATTAATCCTGCGTGACAGGTTTGGGTTTTCTCCCCCTTCCTGGCCGTTAACTGTTCTGCTGCTGATAAGACACATATTCCATCACGCACTGCAACTCATCCATTATTTCAGGGCCTCATCTCTCGATGGAGACAACCTGGGAGCACCTGACCCAGCATCGCTTCCTAAATAGGGGAGTCTCAGACCCCAGCAGGGAACTGAATAGAGAGATTTATGGAGCCACAGTCCCCGGCAAAGCCAGAGCCAATACAGATTATTCTCCTGCCTTTTCCCCTTGACAACTTCTGAACATGCACAATAATATCTACCTTGCCAGCGCCGGGGGAGTTTCAAAGAGGCTTCAGGAGCATAAATTCAAACCTCTGGCTTTCAGAGAAGGAGATTTACAAACTATTTCCTTAAAAAAAAACCAACACCCACAAAGCAGAGGAGCAATGCATCATTTTTCCGGAATGTCTCCCAGGATGTGTAGGGAAGCAAGAGCTATTTGTCATGGATATATTTGATGGAGGAAGATCTTACATATAAGGACCAAGCAGGAACTCTGGAGGTCCACGTTCCCTTCTTGGTGGGGCAACACTGTCTCCCCAGTGAACTCACTTTCTCCTCCTGCACCCGTTTCCTTGCTGTAAAATGAGGAACTGTTGCCTTTCCTAATTGTAGGAATGGACTCTGCATATTTAGATCAGGTTGCTCCACACTCTTCATCCCTAAGACCCTTGTTCTGGGGTCTTCTCCAAGTCAAAAGTCCCCTTGAACAGCAAGTGAGGTCCCCAAAATTCCCACGGACTGAACACAGCTCCAGATCCGCTGCCACCACCTCGCAGCTGTCAGTCTGGCTCCTTCACTCACATCTTTCCAAGCCTTTTAGGTCCTTCAAGAAGTTGCTTCCAAACTCCCTTGTCCACTCCCTGCTCCCTGCCTGCACAGCTCTGTCCCCGGGATGGCACCAGCACACACAGAGCTGAGCCAGGAATTAGGAGATCAAAATCACCTTAGTGAGTTTTATGAGTGTTTTAAAATTATTTGCATTCTTCTCTGGAAACTTTTTTTTTTTTAATCCAGAAAAAATGCCCTTTGTACAAAGAGGCCCTGAGAATGATGGAAAACCTGACCTTATGGTGTGTTATTACTGCAGATGGTATTCCTGGAGTTATTGACTCCTGAATGGCATCTCTGTGTCTAGACACTGGTTTAATCACAGTGAAATAACGCCCTGGCACGACTCCACAATGAATCACCCTTTGATTAGTACTAAGGATATTAAAAGCTTTTATTAACCTTATCTTTGTGTTCTGGGGTGCTCCTGCTTGCAGCTGCCAAAACACAGAATCTATTCTGTTTGAAAAAAGCAACTTTTACATTTATTCATCGTGCCAGAGGTGCGGGACAAGTGCGGTGCCAAAGAGGTGACTTTTTGGAGCGAGGAATCACTTTGATCTAACGAGAGCCAAGTCTCCCCTTCACAGGAGTCATCCCACCACATCACAGGCCCTCAGAGCCCCACTGCTGCTTGCAGGAGACCACACTAAACCCTTGCAGCTGAGTGAGGTTTTACTCCATTCCCGTTCACCACAATTGTAGCATTCCAATCTTTATCCCCTCTGATATGTCCCCCTAAACACATTGTACATTCAGTCTGTTATGAGATGCTGAGCCCAGAGAAATCCAGGTGCAGCCAGGGGCTTGCAGGAACAAGGATCCACAGGAGCTACATGACTGAGCCTGGCTGGTCACAAGGGAGATGTTCCAGCCTCTGCCCTGGGCAGCCTGACACGGTTGTGGCTGGATTTGGCTGCTTAAGTGTCAGCACCAAATGATGTTTCAGCTGCCTGACAGCATTTAGATGCAGAGGATACAAACCTGGTCTGCTGTGACAGGGATTTCTAGAATCAGGGAATCATTAAGGTTGGAAAAGCCCTCTCAGACCATTGAGTCCAACCATTAACTCAGCACTGCCAAGTCCATCACTGAATCACGTCCCTGAGCACCACAGCTACACCTTTTCTGAATGCTTGCAGAGATGATGACTCCACCACTTCCCTGGGCAGCCTGCTCCAGTGCTTGACAACCCTTTCAGTGAAGAAATTGTCCCTAATATCCAATCCAAATCTCCCCTGGTGAAACTTGAGGCTGCTTGCTCTTGTCCTATTGCTTGTTACTTGAGAAAAAAAACAGATCCCCACTTGGTTACAACTTCCTTTCAGGCAGTATTAGAGAGTGAGAAGGTAGAGAGCAACAGAGGGCTCTGTTCAAATCTTGGTGATGAGCCCTGCAAATGTTAACCCAAATCTGTTAAAACTGGACCTGCCTGAAGCCCAGGTTTCCTGTACCTCTCTTTGAATTCCAGAAACACTTTTGCCAGGCTGCTTCCTCCAGACATCATAGAGACATCGATGGCTCTCAGGAAACTGAAGTGCACTTTAATTAGGTCCTGAAACAAAGAAACAGTCAATACTTTAAACACATTCAAAGCAAGTGGGTAAACAGAGCCTAAAGAAATGCACATTCACTACTTCATCAGGCAGGTTTTTTCCCTCTTTTAGCTGTTTTTAAAGAAAGTTGTTCTAGTGGAATGCAGCCCTGAATGGCCTGGAATATGGGAGTGTAATTCCATCAGAGGTTAGACAGTGATAAATGCCCCAGGATGGGGAAGGAGGAGGAGATGGGATGGATGGTGCTGATGATACACCAGGTTCTGACCCAGACTCTGTGCAAGCCAGCGTAGAAATAAATCCCTTTATCACAAACCACCTAAACCAGATAAAATCCACAGTCCCAGCCCCAGAACATCCATTGGATACAACTGGTTTTTTTTACCTACAGTTCATATAATCCCCAACTCTAAAACTGAGTGTTAAAGAATATCTCCTAAACTCATTCAAGCTCCACAGCACACGAAGGGCTGAACCTCCACAGGTGAATGCACAAGTCTAACAGGAAATGGGAAAACCTCTTAAACAGGGAGAGGGTTGAGCTGCCTTGAAGAGAACAAAGATTTAAGCCAAAAAGTCCATGCCCTTACCTCCAAATTGATAAAAATAGCTTCCATGTCTTGGGGAGTCAGTACCAGCCTCAGGGGGTTCATATAGTTCTGCAAGAGGGAGATGGAAAAGGGATTGAAATACTGGAGAGGAGGGAACAAGAAGGGGGTTGTGCAAGAGAGGTGGCTTTTTTCTGCTTCACCAGTTCAATTTACCTGGGCAGGGAAAAGCAAGGTTTTAATGAGTTTAAGCACTTGCAAAGGCAGAGAACAACCAGGTTGTGCCAAGGATCCAAGTGGGAGGCAGGAATCTCCATGGGTGCATCATCCCCTCAGATCCCCTTGGCTCCCTCAGCACTTCCAGGCTTGGGAAGGTGCAAAACCCCAACTCATGGGTGGGTGCAGGACCCCTCCCCTGCTAAACCCATGGGAGGGGGGGTTAAATAAGCAGCACTCAGCTGCTTCACCTCACTGCAGTCCTTGGCTGCACTGAAGCATCTTTCCAGCTCTTTATCTCACTAGAGTTTTGCCCTTGAAAACACACCAATGATGTGATTACATCAGAAATGTGTTTCTGAACAAATACATATTAATAGAAACATCTACATGACTTGTAACCACAAAAAACCCCTGATGTAACACACCAAAGACAGAACCCTCTGCTCATAACAGTGCCAGAACCTGCTAAGCCTTCACAAGCCTTTTAAATTGATATCAAAGCAATAATTTAACTCTTCCTTTAGACTGAACCAGAGGGCTGGTTCAAGGAACAAATGTCCCAGTATAAATGACATTATGTTGGGACATTTTCCTGGAAAATAGGAAACGTTATTCCATCGTGCCGATTTTGTTCATGGCTTCTTTGTGGGAACTTTCAGGGGGAAATAATTGCAGAAGGGGAGGAAACAAAAGCATTAGGGTGATTAGAAATGGCAGCTTGATTTTCACTATTGTTCTCCACTCCTGCTGCTTTCCTCAGAGCAGGAACCACCTCCAGGCTCCCGTCACATCCACGACTCCACCGTCTTGCTGAGGTGTTCACTTTTATTTTTATTTAAAAGAAAGGCACGACAATCATTTATCAAAACCAATTAAACCCCGTGAATTTAAGCAGCAAAACGTTACTCTTAATCCAATTAGTTTCAATGACAAGTCATCACAGCTTCAGCACTTTTGAAAAGCACCCAGAATAAAGAAATTATTCCGTAGCAATCGGAGCGATAAGATATCTGCAAACACTGCTCTTATCGGCGAGCCTGGCCTGGCTGAGTGAGGAACTAGAGTCTCTTACCCCGGGGTAGGGGGCTTTCAGCTTATTTCCAATCTGCAGCAATCAGAAAAAATATGCTGTTTGGCTCCTACAGTTACAGGCTGCACATTTGTGCTTGTCAGCCTGGCTTTTCTGGGTCTCCCTTCTCTCCAATTTTACGTGCGAGTGCATCGATCCTGCCCGCTCACATCTGCCAGCCCTCAGAGCAAGAACTAACACGATGAACGCGAGATCAAGGGGCGAGGGGGAAGGCCACGGTATGGAAAAGATGGCTCGGTTCTTACCTTTTCTATATCTTCAAGTGTTTTGTAGTATTTGGCCTCAGTTTCTTGGATTTCTAGCAAGCAGCAATTTCTTTTGTCATCTTCTGTCATTCCCATTTTCTAGAAAAAGCAAAAATAACGCGTGGTCAGATATTCTTAGGGGTGGCCCAGCAACCTGCTGATCCAGTTCAGCCTTCAGTGACAGCAAACAAGCACAAGTTTGGAAAATCAGGAGAGCACCACTACTAGTTTATGTTAAAGGGAACTACTCTTATGCAAAAAATATAAGAAGGGACCCTGGCTGTATTATTAAGTATGTTTCAACATGGCAAGCATTCCATTTTTTGCATTTATTATAACCACATCACCAAAGACTATCAGCTAAAGAAGAATAATAAGAGATAAAGGCTGAGTTTCTCTATTTTTTTTGCCTAAGATGAAACTCACAACAGAGCCTAAGTGGGTCATAAATAATATGTTACATTTCTACAAATCCCTGGCCAGGATTGCCAATTCTTATGATTTTAGGTCAAATCTGATAAAACGTGCTTTTCTCAAAGCCCCAACTCCTGGAGTCACTTCTCTTGCTCTGACATCTGTAAAGCTGAGAACACATGTTGGGAGCTGCTGCACTTGGCAAGGCAGGCTCTGAATTTGGGAGGTGATTCAGTGATGGGGTTTTATGGATCATGCACAGGAAAAGACACCCTCTGTCCACCCCCTCAGAACTCGCAGCTCGGACCTATCAGCTGGATGAAACCCAGTATTTTAATCAATGCATCTTACCTGCATATATCTAATCTGAAGCATGCAGAAATACAAGAAGCCATTAGCATTGCACACTTGCTATTGCAACAGATCTTACAAAAAAATCAATGTTTTGGCGGATATGTGGGTGTTCATACCAAAAACAGACTCTTTTGCTCAGGGAAAGGGAGGGAAAGAGAGTCAGAGCCCTCAACTCCATCACTGCTCAGCAGAAATCATAAAACATCACAGTGAAAAACTGACAATTCCACTGATCCTAATCCTGTACTACCTGGCTGCTGGAGCTTCCCCCCATTTTTGCTATTTATACAAGAAATTCCTACCAAAACCTTCCCAAGGGGTCGTTCTTGGGCCAAATGGCTTCTGCAACTGATGGCAACCTGCTAAAAGCACCAGCGAGCTGTGCTGACTTCAGCATTGCTACCAGCGCCCCTAACAGCTCCAAGCACTTTGGCGGGACCACTGGGAATATTTTGTGCCCAACTCCTTGATCCAGACAGGGTTTCAGTGCACAGGGAGCTCCTCTGGCTGCAGACAAGGAGCGAAGGGATACAATGCCCCAACCACCATCATCACGATCTCTGTACCACTCGCAGCCAAACTGGGAGAGGGAAGGAGTCAAGGGACGTTGCTCAGCTGTTTTGGCAGGTTCCATGGATGCAGCCCTGCATTCCCAGGCTCCAGTCCCTCATCTGGCTCAGCCACATGCCCTGCTCCAGGGATTTAATTGATCAGTGAACTTATCCATTGATCCTGCTTTGTTACGGGGAGGTATGTGCTATTTGCGCTAGGAGAGAGTAATTAGAGTCTGAACAAAGCCTGAGGGTGGCAGATATTGGAGGCTGGGAGAAAATTTGGAAGGTCACACTCTGGAGAAGGTCCATTCCAGCTCTGCACCAGCAGAAGCCAGGGCAGTGCTGGGGACACAGGTAGTGAAGGTGGCTGTGGGCATCTTTGGGGAGGTGCAAGGGCCACCAGTACCTCCCTGTCTCATCCATGGAGTGGGATATTTGCCCCAGAGCCCTTGGAGTTAATGCACATCCCTCCACGAGGCTGCACATACCTCAATACTCAGGTTTCCTCATCGTCAAGAGGTTTTTAGAGGTGACGAAAGGGGCCGGTTGCTTGTCCCTAAAGCCACATGGGTCCCTGCTGCCCCAGAAAGCTCCACTGTAAACACCTCCCTGCTCTGAGACACCCAGGTAGGAGGCAGCAGCAGGCACAAACAAGTGCTGGATCCCCCCCACAGATCTGTCAGTGCTCGCCCCGATCTAAAAATACTGGTGGCAGGCACGACACATCTGGCTGACGGAGCAGGGAGAGCTCCCACACTCCCCCTCCCCAGAAGGGCTGCAGTGACACATGCTGCCTTGGCTCAGCAGCAAATTGCTATTTTTAGCTTATCTTTTAGGGCTTATTAGGTCTCCCTTTCCCTTCCTCCTCCCCGAACTCCTTCAGATGACAGGATGGGCTGGGAAACTCCTCAGAGAACCCCCTCTGGGCCAGTGGCATCCCAGCTCTGCTTATTTTTACCACTTGCAAGGCAGCTCAGTTTCGAGGAGCAACACAGAGCGGTTCGCTTCCCTGCAGCATCACCTGCCATTGGCAGACAGTAATTTATTTAATTAAATCCCCCTCCCTTCCCCTCCCATCAAGGTGTAGCTTTAAAAACGCAGATAAATTGTTACCATGGGCTGCTGAACTTCCACTCTGATGATATCTTCGTAGATATCATCGCCTTCATCTTCGCAGGGGACGCAGTCATAAATGTCCTCCCCCAGATCGTGCTCGCTGGAACGAGGAGAGAGAGTCAGTGATAATAACGAGGGGATGTTCACTGTCACTTGATCAGGCAAACCAACAGCAGCTCTGACACCGAGCAGGGGGGAGAACCACAATAAGAAAATTCTCCTGGCCCACAGCACTGATGCGCTCGGTCCACGCTCTCTGGTTTTCCCGGATCAGTGCCTGCTGCACATCTCTTTCCGCTCACTGGAGGCTGGAAAAGGCAAAATGCTGCTCAACACGAGCGGGGATCACAGCCAAGAGCTGCTCTGAGCCCCGTGCCAAGCGTGCCTGCGATGCCCACTCCACCACGGGCTGCCAGCTCTGCCCCCACAGAGCTTTTGCTCGGTGCTAATCGGCCCAGCCGAGCTGGACCCGCTGGCCAAGCACCCAGTGGGACCATCTGTGCCGCTGGCATGACCAGGTCCAGCTCCACCTGCCTCCAAAGGTGCCCACGGCCTCCTCTTCAGCTCCTATTTAGGACCAGGAGCAGCTCTTGCATCAGTGACTTTAACTATATTATACTCACAGAACGCACTTTACAGGTTGGTCTGTTTAAGGCACTGTGTTCACTCTTGATCTGGTTTGGCTTTTTCTCACTAAGAGGCTTCCTTTGAGCCAAAAAACCACCCCCTCTCCAAGCCAGGGCTGAAAAACTGCCATAGGAGCCCAGATCCATTCAGAGCAGGAGCAGATACTAAACAATCATCTGATGGCTCTGTGCAGTCCATAGAAGCATTCCCAGTCCTGATGAACCCACACCCCAGGCTGTGCAGGACCCACAGCAATGCCTGGACCAGGCAGCTGCCTCCAGCCTTGGGTATCACATCCAGGTTTAAAAGCTCTGGATCCAGTTCTTCTGGGAGATGCACCAACTCCCATAAAGCCCAATCCCTGCCCTAATGGGCAACTGAGTGATTTTTAATCCAGTATTTCCCAGAGGAATAGGAGACTCTCCTGACCACCATAAAGCAATCTCACCGGACGCCCAGCTTGGTGATGCTCAGCCCCAATGCTGAGCAGAGGCCAATAATAATATTTACATCAGAGAAAAATTAAGCAGCAAAATGTCACATTTTCAGAGCTGGCCCCATCACTTTGGAGCTGGCCCTGCACACACACAGGCTTTGAAGGCATCACTGAGATGCAGAGCCCAATTTGTATTAAAGGTGAGGGTGTTCAGTAATTAATTGTCATCTGAGCCTTCACACCCCTCCCAGGGGCTCATCGGTCTTAGAATACCTCTGAAAATTCAACCCACAATAAATACCAATTAACAATAATAACTCTAGCACTTAGATCTACAGGTGCTGATTGCTAACGGCTCCCACTGAAGTCAATCCCACAGGATCAGGACAGTGTGAAAACACTGGAATATCAAACAGCACTCGCATATTTTATGAGCTGTCTCTTTCAACAGGGGTATTAATTACACCCAAATATATTTAGGTGTAAAGCTGTGCTCAAACTGTGACACTCGACATCTCTATATTATATAGCAGGGAGCAGCTGAGCACATCTGCCTGCGAAACTGGGCTTTATTTCCTCGCTAAATACGGTCCCTTCTATTTTTACAAAACAGATTTATTTAATAAAAGTTTGGGGATTTTAAATAAATACACTGGCTTGATGTAGCCATCCCATTCTTCCAGAGTGATGCATTGCAGCTGCTGCAATAATGCCCACTAATAGCTGGTGATCCATCTTCCCCTTCCCAGGCGTCGCCGTCGCCGTTATTATCTGTACCAATATTTATATTCTCCGCTCCACTCCTTATCCAGAGCGAGTCACTCCCAGTTCCTGATTAATCTTCCTGCCTGCACCTCTCGGATTGCTGGCTGTCTCTCCATACATCATTTCCCTGGCTCCAGGGTCGTTAGGGACGTATGGCTGCGTTAATGTCGCGAGCACCAGCCCGGCTGGGTGTGACGCGACCAGGCGAGTGCTGCGGTGACGCTGCTGCTGGAGCAGAGCCTGCTTGGCCTCGTGGATGCTCATCACCACCCATGGGAGCACCCAGGAACTGCTTTGGGCTACGTGCAGAAGGAGAAGAGGCATCCTGAGGTGTCTCTGGGAAGCCCTGCGTCCTGAGCATCACCTGGACATTCTCTCGGCGCACCTACACAACCAGGTGCCAGGTCCAAGCCTCAAACCCCAGCAGGACCCATTCCAAGCCTGCTGCTGCTGTTCCCAGCCTGGGCAAGTTCTCCTTTTCTCCCCCTCCAAGGAGCCATGAGCTCTGGACCGTGGTGGGGACACACCAGCACACCACTGTGAGAAATCCAGGTGGCAGTGTGACATGCTGAAGGGGTTTTGCTCAATCAGGTTTCCTGGACCAAGCCTGCAGGAGGATGTGTGCCCCATGGACCTGGTCCAGCCTGGCCCTACCCAGAGTTCCTCCAGGCCACCAAGAAAGGGGCAGAAATGCCTACCAAGGGTCAACAGAGGAGATTTGCCCACAGAACTGCCAACAGTCACAAGACATGAACATTGCACTTATCACAAGGGGCCACATCCTGATAGCACCTTGCTACTCTCACTGCTCTAACAAAGGGGCTGAGTCCTACTGCTCCACTCCTTCCTGCTCATCAACATCAGCACAAGCCCTTCCCAACATCGATTTCTGGCCTCACACAAAAACCAGGAACAACTCCCTTGTTCTGGGGCCATCTAGAAAGACACTTCCACTTCAGAGCTTCGGGGAGAGACACTAGAGATGCTCAAACCCGACAGCCGTGGTGGTGTTAAAACCATACCTTTGTCCAGCAGACTCTTATTTATTAAAACACATTCCTAGTACATCCCTGAGAAACACCAGAGGCTGCCAGTTTTATGGAGAGCAGTAAACCGTGTGGATTAACCTCTCCTGGAGCAGACTGTGAGCAGCCAAGCTCCAACGGTGCCGCACGGCTGTCGACAATCGCTGCTGTGCACATATTGATTTTCATCAGTCTCCACATTATGTCTGTCAGAGTTGAAAACACACACCCTCCCCGTCCTCAAAACAGGGAACAGGCATCAGGGTGATTTTAGCCAGTGGCAAACTGAGGGCCTACTAAATGCAGGCAATAAATTCGGCATCCCAAGCATGTCACGCACAGACAGAACAACCTGAGCAAGGAAAGCCAGATCTTCACCTCGTTCTTCACAAAGAAAAGCAATTTGCTCCTTCAATAAAAGCAGCAGAGTCTGCGAGTTACCCGTGGGTATCAGAGCCCATGATCTACTGCCTGGATTAGGAGATTCATTGACAGCTCTGGGTTTAGGAAAGGGATTTTTATCCGCCCTTCAGAGTTAATGCCAGCATTTGCAATTACTGTTATTAGGATGGATGTAACCAGCTTTGGGATGGCAGCATCTTGCCGAGCCAGAAAAGCTCATTCAAAGCAAAAAAAGAATGAAGCTTTTCATATCTAAGGCAATTTCAGGCAAAAACAGTGCTTTTGGCTGAGCTCTGCCTCCCTGGCAATGCTTTCTCTGCATGAACACCCTCCCAGGCAGGCGGCAGCCATGCCAAGGAGCAGCTCCCATAACAGAGGGGCTGATGCCAGGATGCTACCTTGGAGTGAGGGACAAACACGTGGGGAAGCTCTGATAGACTTGAGGGCCACTGAAGAATCTCTTCACCCACAAAAGCTGCTCTGGGAAGTTGATGAGTTTGTACCAGCCCCAGGAATGCAGGGACAAGCTCTCAAGGCAAACCCACTGTGCCAAAACCCCTGTCCAAACCACACTGGTGGAAGAGCCAGAACCACCAGGAACAACAAAAGAAAGGGAAGGAGGGGACAGAAGGAACTAAAATAAGACAACCAAGAAATAACCCCAAATTTCCAGCCCTGTAGCCAAGGTTAAGAGCCAGAAAACCTCAGAGCCACCACTGGGTCCAGGCTGGGAGGGCATTTGCAGGGACTCTGAGACAGCTGCCCAGCAACTGCAAGGCTCCAGTCTGCCCCAGTAATCCTCCACTTTCTCATTCTTACTCTGCACTTACAGCTATAAATAGACAGTTCATCCAACCAACCCCCTCATTCACGGGCTCCATCAGACAAGGAGAAACAGAGTCCTATATTTGCAGCACATCTGGCAGGCTTAGGTTTCAGGGTGAAGGAGTGCAAGATGTGCAGTCACTGGACTCGAGATCTTGCAGGGTTTAATTAGCCAGATTGTACTTGGATGGAGATACACATCTGGAAATAGCAAGGGAAGCCTTCTGCCATCTATTCTACTTGGGTCTTACGTTCCCCAGTCAAAGGGGAACATTATGATCCCAAGAACGAGCCTCACACAGTTATAGCACATAATATGATCCTAGAAAAGGCACAAGTAGGACATATAAAAATCAATACGGGTGACAAAGAAGAAAAGACACGTTTACAAGTGCTATGGCTCAAGTGCCCTGTACTACAGAACCATTTATTTAATGGGCTGGCGTGCGTGGTCTGTCCAACACAGCAAAAATAATGAGAAAAGTGGCAGCTAACTTATCATCTCACCTTGGCTCCTCTATTCGTTACTTTCTTTTAATGCACTCGAGAAATTCTGCTGATCACATCACTATTTTGGGAGATATGATGGGGCAAAGCTGGTGACAGCAGTGGAAGAAGTAGGAGAAACTTCAGTGAGAAGCTGTTGGCAGGGGGCAGGTTGTCGGCAGAGGCTGTGCCCAGAAGAGATGCATCACTTGAGAAACTGAGGCTGGGCAGACCTACTTCCCCCCTTTTCTAGGACGAGAAGTTTGGGAATACACAACTATCCCCAATATATTTGTTGGGGATAAATCCCCAGTGAACTGCAGCTCAAAACAAGAGCAGGGGACATCGACACTGAGCTGTGGGATGAAGCTCCCCAGGGGCACACACTGGTTCCAGCACAGAGTTTGGTGGCAGCTGCTTTGCCTAAAACACTTACTTGGTCCCTTCTGCAACACCACAACTTCTCTCCCCAAAGCAAATTACATTTGAAGGAGAAAATAAAGGTAAAAGTTACACAAATTAAACGTTTCACATCAAACCATTCACAGCACTTCTGCCTGACTGAATTCTTCCAAGAGCCAACAAGTAACCCAAAATCAGCCCTATGTGTAATCCACCCAAGCCTGCTGGGCTTAGTGCCAGGGCAGAGGGACAGTGCCATGAAGTGGAGAAGGTTCATCATAAAGAAGGGTCTGGTGCTGTAAAGAGGACCAGGATTAATCACTCTCATAAATTTAATGAGACAAAATAACTGGGGAGAGCTTAAGTGGCAGTAAAGAAAATTCAGGTTAAATGTTAACTATAACTCTGAGGTACCAGGATGGTCTGGAGCAGCTGAAAGAGCCATCAAGAGGGATGGAAAAGCAATTGGCGGGGAAGAAGCTTATCAGTAAGGCGGATAATTGCCCACTGACATCAGTGCCCAGCAGCCATATCCGGGTGGGAAGCAGCGGCTCACACCCCTGCACACCTGTGGGAGCATCCCCAGGACAAGGGTCACTCCGATTTTGGGGGCACAGGCTATGGAGAATGAGCCCACGTGTTGCTGTTGCAAAGCCCAGCTCATTTTGTGGGTAACCCCCCCCAACTGGTTGCAGCTCTAGGGTCTGGCACTAGGGCAGGCTGAGATAAATCAGGCAGCAGAGGACAATTGTCCCTTTACTGCTCCTCCCAGTATTGATCAGGCACCACTTGCATCCGTCCGGCCCTCACCATCTGCCCAGGCTGCTGCAAGCTGCCATCTGGCCCATGGCAAAGCAAACAGAGGGGCCAGCAGGCTGAAAACAGGGAATTTGAGAACTTCCTATCTCCCCTGATAGCCTTTTAGTTTCCCTTCCCCTTTCCACCACCAATTGTTCTCTTTTTTTTTTTTAACCAAATAGCTGTTTCCAGGCAATTACATGCCTTGATCTGCTGGCTGGCTGACCCAGAGCTGGGGAGCTGCCTGGAGCTTGGATTCATCTCTGCAACACCCCAAAGGTGAAAGAACAATGGGGTCATCAAGGTTTAAACATCCTTTATACACACCTGCACCCCACAGACACACTGTGCTTGCACAGACCTTGTTCCTGCAGCCCACATAAATGTCCTTGTGGCACTGCCATTGATCCTCTCCAGCCCTGGCACTGACTTTTGTCCCCAGTTGTCGGGGCTCCTCTGCAGTGGGAGGGTCATCAGGATGAAGGTTCTCACTCTTCAGAGCATCGTGGGGACAGTGGGGACAAAGCCTGGTTCCTTCTGCTTCCCAAATCAGCCCCTCCTTCACCAATACATCTATATTTTGAATTCTTTGCAGAACAGAAATTCACCTAAAATCTGAACGGGGTAACAAAACTGCTCTGTTTAAGTACTTAAGAGTTGAAATGAAGCATTTTAATATTTAAAAAAACCCCAAACTATCTCTTTTACCAACCCCTAAAATGTCTTGTTAGAACCAGCTCAATATTTATCCTGAGCTTTTTATCCCAGCAGCACAATGTCCAAAGAGAGCTCCCTTCTCAAGAGACTCCTCTCTCCCAGGGGTGAGCTGATGGTGCAGAGCCCACCAGGGTTGTCCCTCCTCACCCACACCCTGGCCCTTTGAGGTCAGTGGGAACATCAGGGTGGGACCTCGAGATGACACATCTCATGGTGGTTTTACAGGCAGGACTGTAGCAGTTCCTTCCACACATTGGGTCATTTCACTGCTTGCTGTGAAAATCACTTCCTCGCCTCCAATAAAGCATTTTGTATGCACTCAGATCTCCCCAATGCTGCTGGATCATCAGCAATACTAAATGCAAAGATGCTGGATGGACTGAATCACTCCCAGCTCGTGAATGATGCCCTTGTTCAGCTGTTTGGAGGATCAGCAGGAGCTAAGAAAGAGCTTTCTCATGCAGTGCCCCAGCCTGCCAGCGCCCAGCAGCGGTGCCCAGTACCCACCATTGTGACCAGCAAAACCCCAGTGAAAGTTTCCTTGTCAAAGGGAGAAAGGGGGACTATTGCTGATGTGCTCCAGGCAGCTGGAGCAGCAACACTTGTGTGAAGGGGCTCTCAGGGGCATTTCTGGGGTTTTTACAGCTATGGGTGAATTCCATCTCTGTTTTGTAGGTCGTGTTTCCGTGCACAACCTGGCTGGACCAGGAGGGCAGGTCCAGATGCAGGAATTGGTGCAATAACCCCATGCTGATTTACACATGCCTTTCCCCACCAGTCTTGGCTAAAGATTTCGAGAAGAGGATTTTGCAAAGAAGGGGAAAAAAGGGAAAGTTAAAAGTTGGAGAAGATCTGGGACAGAACAGGGTGATCAATAGAAATAAACCTCCAAGTCATCTGACTTGGGCACCTCTCATTGAGGGACAAACTCACAGCCAGGCCTGAGAAACAGTTTGGGGAAACTTCCACCCAGACACCCTGCAGGAGCTGCACCACTGACAGCAGTTAAAACTGGGAACCCACTTCCAACACTGAACAACCTGCTCCAAGCTCTGAGCATGCCATCCCAAAACTCCCGTTTCTAGGAGAGTGCTGCCATCCCAACCAGCACTCGTGTGTGAGTTCCCACACAAACCTCTCTCCAATTAAAAGCACATCTATGTGTGAGAAGCAGGAATTTTAAAACCTAGTATTAAAAGGATTTTGAGAACTTTTGGAGAGGGGGCGGAAAAAAATGTTGCTCTTGAAAGCATCCCTTTATAAGTTAAAATTATATTAAACTGTAGCTGCTGGGAGCCAACAGCAAGCAGGGAATTCCAGGGGACTCCAGTCCCTCCGCTGGTAATTTATGATTTACTTTTGTAATAACTGAAGCCATAAGGAACTCATTGGATTAAGGAGCCTTATTATTTATGTTGTGGAACAATAATATTTAACTGTATAAAGCCATATATCCACCCATACAGTCCATCCCTCCACATGAAACAGACTGCTCCACATAAGCAAACCCCTGGCTGATGGGAATGTTGCCATCGAATTCCAATAGTGCCCGCATTTCACCGTATATGTTGTAGTTCAAGGTTGATTTTAAAAGCCTGTTATATCATCACCATGGGCAGCAAAACACAGACACAAGATAAACAGAGACAGGACACACCAGCAGCACCACCCCATGTCCTAACACACCACCAAGGACAGGCAGGATGTGTCCCTTGTGAGGGGCCTGAGGCCCCATCCCTGCAAGCATCCAGGTTAGACAGGGCTTGGAGCAACCTGGTCTACTGGAAGGTGTCCCTGACCATGGCAGGGGACATGGAACAAGGTGGTCTTTAAGGTCCCTTTCAACCCAAAATATTCTGTGGTTGCCCTGGGGACACCTAGGGTGGTCCAAAAATCATCCATAGGGGATGCAGATCCATGTGCCAGCACCCACACAGCCCAAAAAATGCCATGGGGGGAACCAGCACTGTTAGCAACAGGTACCCCACTCCCAGCAAGTGGTTTGGCTTTGGTCAGCTCAGAGAATAAATTATGTCCCAAGGTTTTGCAGCTAATGATGGAATTTAGGAGGCGGAGGGGATCCCGTGGGCTTGGCCCCCTTCACCCCCCACCAAGCCCCTCGTAAATTCAACCTGATTAAAAGTGATGTCTCCCAGGGCTCTTCATGGGAAGAGATGGACTATTGTCAGAGCACAAAAATCTCCTGGCAAAAGGATCAAAGCAGCCAGCCCGGCTCTCTGAGCCCCGCTGTCAAATTTTATCTGCCTTTGCTGCAAATACTCCGCAACTTTTCCCTTTCTGTGTCCCCTCCCGTGAGAAGGGGAGGCCACTTACTCTGCCAGCTCCTCCAGGCTCCGATACACGTCATCATCGTTTTCCGTGGTCTCCTCCGAAGGGAAGGGCCTGGGGAAGGAAAGGAATGACAGTGTTATTGGTGCCTCACCCCTCGCAGCACACCCCCTGAACTCAGCCCAGCCCTGAGCGTCCCGCTGAGCTCAGGATGTTTCGGAACAAAATATGCATTGCAAATCCATTTTTTCCTGTTGAGGTACTGGCTCCCAGGACACTGCTTCCCAGAGGCAGCCCTGGCATGGCAGGACAAGAAAGCAGGTGGTGAGGCTTGGCTGAGCACAGGAGAGCACCTGGGCCCCAAAATGAGGAGCAGCATCGTCTGACAGCACCTCAGAGCCCCCGTGGCTGAGCTGCCGCTCCTGCTGTGCTGGTGCTGCACAAACAACTCAGAAATGTAACTCAAGCCTGGAGTTGGACATGTTAAAATGGAGAGACACCTTCTCCCCCAGCTCTCATGGAGCTTTCCCACCTGTGAGCTCCTGCCCTGGTCAGCCAGGCACGGCTGGACACACCATGCTGCTTCCCACTGTTGCAAACAGCTGATCCCACTGGAATGAATGAGTCCTTATGAACCCTGGGCTTCCTCATCTTAACAACTTTGTGACAGCTGAAAAAAGTTAAACCCCTGGGGATGAGGGAAAGGACAGCAAAAGGGCAAAAGGAAGGGGGGAGAAAGCAGATTAAAAGAGCACGGGAGGGAGTGGGGGGAATACAAGAATTCCTTGGCTCGTTCTGAAGTAATAACCAAATAACGTACGAAGGAGATGAAAAATACTGTTTTAATTAAACCCAATGTATTATTGCTGGCACGGGGCCAGGGTGGGCTGTGGCTCTGCTGGGGCTGGATGCACCTTGTGGCTACGGCTGTGCCGGGCTGCGGGTCCCCGTGGGCACAGCCAGCCTTGCTCCAGCCCCAGCACAGGGACACGGAGGGGTGGCAGTAGGGCAGCTTACTTCACCCCTCCTGGACATCGAGGAGAAGGCAGGTGGGGTTCCCCAGGCCATGAGCCACACGGGATGGGATGCTGATGCTGGGGAGGAGCAAAATTGGATACATGTGAACGTCTAACTGCCCTCGAGAGCAATTCCCTCCTCTGCCCTCCCACCTTCCTTGTTTCATGATAGATTGCCTCTCCTGTAAAATTTAATACATGGCCTGGTTAGCCCCCAAATTTGCTATTTTTGGATCCTTTCTCTAGCATTAATTTGCTTTCTCTCCTCTGCTACACTTCACCCTTCCTTCAGCGAGCAGCTTCAGACCAAGCATTTTGAAATAGTGCTGAAACCTGCAGCAAGTTCAATTAAAACCCCAGCCAGGTGGTGAGTCCAGGAGGGAAAAGAGCCATGGTGACCTCAGCCACGGAGCAGAATCATTCCATGCTACACTACCTACCACAGCTGCTGTGCCTCTGAGAGAGGAAACAAGGAGCACCCAAGGCTGGTGTGTCCAACCATGTGCAAAGTGGCAACAGGGGAGGGAAGAAAGCTGTGGGTAGAAGGGCAGGTGGGGCTCTGCTTGCTGTCATAGTCCCATGGCAAGGCAGGTGCCATCAGGGGATCGTCCCAAAACCCCAACATCTGGCACAAACAGCTGCCCAGGTATCTGTGAGGTGAGGGGGGGATGACCATTTTGGAGAGAAGCTTCAAAGCATAAAGGTGCAGTTTGAGATCCTGAGGATCTTTACAAAACGTGTGTTTCCTCACTCCTGCTGTCCCCTGGGGATTAGTGACAAATACAAAAGCCACGTGAAGCACAGGCAAAAAAGCCACCAGCTTTTCCTGCACATGATGGAACTGGGAACCAGTCTTGGACTTCAGCCCTGGTGGGCAAAGGGATATGGCAGCTGCTGCTGCAGGGCTACACCACCCCACACAGCTCCAGCAAGAAAGGAGAACTCAGAGGTGACCTGTGTTTAAACACCACTTGTTAAAATAATAATAAAAAAAAATCCACCACAAGGCACGACCTCCTTTCTTTTACATGCATCTTCTGCTGATAATCTCTGACTATTTCCTTCCCCAGTGCTCACCATGCCAGAAAGAAAGAAGTAAAAGAGCCATAAAGAATATTAAAATCACATGCACACGTTTCCAACCATAAATCTGGGCCTGAGGTGTAATTGGTTCCTGTGATAAACCCCCCCATGTAAGACAAGGGGACAGTAAACAGAGAAAAAATATTTTCTAATGAGAGTTTCATGGGGAGGCAGCTCTGCTGGCCCTCCCAGCTTCACCTTGACTGTGGGTAAAGCACCAGAGTGAAAGTCAGGGCAGGGGAGGAATTAATAACCTGTATCCCCACAATAGCAGCTAATGGCTAAATAAGGATGCAGAGAAGGCAATTAGAAGGAAAGTCACACCGAGGTGAGTGTTACTGAATGGACCATCTCAAATCTGGAGCTGAAGGATGGCTTTTTGGAGAAAGCGCTGGGTTTGTCCTTTGTCTGTGCCTCTTTCCCCAGCTGCCCATGCTTTGCAGGGGCTCTCTGTGTCCCCACATCACCAGTGTGGGAGCAGAGCTGCCATCTCCCCTGCTCCAAAACAGGGTGCCAGCCCCCAGGATGCAGGATAACTCACACAGGGTGGGACCATGGGACAGTCCTTGCTCTTCCCCAAATGTTCTATGTGCAACAACACAATTTAATGTAACCCTACCAAGAGCTCTCCAACAGCAAATGCGTTATTTGAGACAAATCTACAGGTCATTTTTTCCTTTTTTTTGTAAAATGAGTAAAAACATTTTAAGTCAAGAGGTCTAAAAGCTACTGGGAAATTCTTACAGACCTCCAGGCTTGTTGCAACTTCTTATGGAGTATTAAAAGCTGTGGCTGGGAATGCCCAACAGCAACGAGTATTTTGAGTTCACTGAAACCCAACAGGTTTGCAGAGATCCCGGTTTATTAAAATTCATTTGAAAATGTCTCTTATTTCCTATCTTTAGTTAAGCACCAGATTTTGTTTTTCACTCCAGCACCATGCAAAACCACCTGCTGAGCCATTCATCCTCCCAGCCCGTGCCTGGGCTGCTGCAATCCCAATTCAGATGAAGAGTGAAAGCCCCAGCGACATCAAACAGCACCAGAACAGGCTCTTAGAGATAATAAACCTCCCAGAGCAGACTCCTGCACAGACTAACCCCACAGCATTCAAGAGCATCACTTCCACAGATCAAAGAGGAGAAGGGAAGTGGGATTGATCTGATGTATTTGTTTCAGAGCCTAAAAGAGAAGAAAAGACCGAGTAATTTGTTATGGAGTTTAGAGAGAGCTTTGCCTCTGGAGGACAAGACTTACAGCAGATGATGGTTCTTGACACGAGACGCAAAGCACCCCCTTGATCTTACAAAACATTTTGGCTACTTTCTGCATTGCACGTGCACAGAACAGAGAGCCCTGCAAACACCAGGGAAGGCAGGAGCAATCCACAGCCCCAGCACATCACGCAGGGGGATAATCAATTAATATTTCACGAGGCACCTAATGCAAAAACCCTCCCTTCGCTCTCAGGTTGCCCCCATGATCCCTCCCACGCCGCATCCTCATCATCCACTCCTGCACAGTAAATCTCTCTGTGGGGAGAAGGAGCAGCTCCACACGCTGCCTTGGCTGCTCTCTCCTCTGAATTATTTAACGGGAAGAGCCAGGTAGGCTGCAATTCTAACAGCAATAAGCAGGAAGGTTTATTTATTTATGAGCATATTTCAGCAACTGGGTGTCTTGTCCTAGCAACTGAAGCCAATTGTTCACCTCTGCAGTGCCCTCACAGAGAACAGAGGGTCAGGGATGGGTCAGCTTTAGCCTGATAATTTTATACTGCAGCATCTTGGCCTCAAATCCACGTGTGACAGAGCAAAAAGGACCCAGCATGGTTTATTTTCTATTTTTCCAGTGTCCATTCTGATTTCTTGGGGTCAAACACCAGCCCTGGGAACAGGAAGCCCGGTGACAAGAAGGGAGGGTGGAAATGTCCCACTCAGTGCTCTCCACCCCAAGGAGCTGTTCCCACTGCTCTCGGTGGAGATGGTCTGTCAGGCAGGTCCGCAAGGAAGTTCTCATGCCTTGTGCAAACACCCTCAACAGACTAAAGGAGGTGGTTCATCCCCCTTTCTGGAGCAGGATTCCAGCCTCTCAGCACGATAACCTCCCCCTCTTTTCCTAAGATCACACTTGAGTGTTTTAAAAAGCAGGTGGAGTAAGTGACACCCGGGAAACCTGAGCTGCTCCCATCTGCTGCCCCTTCTGTGAGGGGTTTCTTCATAAACGGGAAGGATCAGAGCCTCAAGCTGGTGCAAAGGAGCTTCTGCAGCTCTGCTGGGATGGAAGGGGCTGTGCCAAGTCCTCCTGGCCCAGAATCTGGCAGAAAAGCGTTTCCATAATGAGGAATATACAGACTGTAATTACACCTTGCAGTACCTCACACATCCCATGGCTGGAGGTACAGACCTTCTGACAGCCCTGCTTTGAAGACAGCATTGTGGCCATGCACAGAAAACCCAGGGGACTCTGATTTCACCAAGATTTTTGGGCTTCAGGCTGTGCTTTCCATGTGAGTTCAGGTGTGGGGTTTGCAGCCCCACAGCTCCCATGCTTCCAGAAAAGTCTGTCTGTCCCACTGCTGAGGTTTCATGCTGCTTCAAACCCCGTATCTCAGACCTTGGCTGTTCACAGCACATCCCTTTGACAGCTCCAACCTTCTCCTTTTCTTTTTTCATCTTCTTTTCCTCCAGGATGGCTCACCCTGTGAACATGGGATCACCCCATCCCAGTGACCACGGATTCCCTGTCAGTCATCAGTTCTGGAACCTCAGTGCCCAGTGGATCCCCTGGGCACACCATCACACCTTCATGAGCTCTCCTGGAGCTGCCCAAAGAAATCCATGCAGTTTTCCCAAGACATTTGCCCACAACTGAAAATTCCTTCCTTGTCGGCTTCGGTGGGATTAGGCAGATTAAAGAAGTATTTAATTTACTGATGTACCAAGAGATGGACATGAGCTGACCAGGGACAAGCAAAGAGGTGACCTGGAGCTGCTCCTCCAGCTCTGCTCAAGA